TGGGTTTCCATGGCTGAGCTAATCTCCCACTAACTCAAACCAGTACATCGCAGTGGCTGTGATTTATCAACACTGTATAACTAATACAATCTGACACCACTTTGACTGCAATGGGTCAGTGGTATGGAATCCTGGAATTTGTATTTTTCCAAGATCTTTTATCATTCTCTGCCAAAGTGTGCTAGTATCTCACCAAACTACAGCTCCCATGATTCCATAGCATTGAACCATGGCAGTGAAAGAGGTGTCAAACTGCATTAATTCTACAGTGTACACCAGTGGTTCTCAACCTTCCTAATGCCGCAACCCCTTCATACAGTTCCTCATGCTGTGGTGACCCCCAACCATAACATTATTTTCGTTGCTATTTCATAGCTGTAATTTTGCTACTGTTAGGAATTGTAATGTACATATCTGATATGCAGGATGAATTTTCATTCACTGGACCAAATTTGGCACAAATATCCGATACGCCAAATTTGAATATTGGTGGGGTTGCAGGATATTGATTTTGTCATTTGGGAGTTGTAGTTGCTGGGATTTATAGTTCACCTACAATCAAAGAGCATTCTGAACTCCACTAATTGTGGAATTGAACCAAACTTGGCACACCGAACTTCCTTGACCAAGAGAAAAGACTGGAAGGGTTTGGTGGACATTGACCTTGAGTTTTGGAGTTGTAGTTCATCTACATCCAGAGAGCACTGTGAACTGAAGCAATGATGGATCTGGATCAAACTTGTCACGAATACTCAATATGCCCAAATGTGAACACTGGTAGAGTTTGGGGAAAATAGACCTTGACATTTGAGAGTTGTAGTTGCTACAATTTATAGTTCACTTACAATCAGAGAGCATTATGAGCCACACCAACGATAGAATTGGGCCAAAATTTCTATACAGAACCCCCAGGATCAACAGAAAATACTGTGTTTTCTGATGGTCTTTGGCAACCCCTCTGATACCCCTTCGCGATCCCGCCAGGGGTCCTGACCCCCACGTTGAGAAACGCTGGTATAGATGTACCCTGTGTCTACTGGTTGCTACATACAGTTAACTTATCCTGACAAGCACAATCCATACTATGCTCTTTGGAATGGGAGGACCTATTCCTTTCACACGTCCATAGAATGGGTATCTGTATGAATGCTATATAGAGTGGGTGCAATTATGAACACTGAGAATAATTAAAAAGTTCATTTGTTAAGTGCTGTCAGCCAGTAAGCATCCGTTGATGTATACAGAGCAGTCAGGCTTACTTGCAAACTCTGAAGAAGCCTCTGTATCCAATTAGACTTGTTTCATGTTTTGGAGTCTTGTGAAAACAAAACAGCTAGACGCATTTTTAAAAAAGGAAGCTTCAGAGTCGTCTTGTCTGCTTATGTCATCCCATATTTTCCTCCCTATAATTACTGATAAAGTTCTCAACTTATATGTGCATGGAACAAAACAGTGTCAAAAGTAATGATTGCTCTCCAGCAGCCTACCTAAAGTAGGTTCAATTGCCTATGGAAGTCTTTGTATGGCAAATGATAGTGGTGTTGTCTGCACTGCAGATAAATCGTCACTTAAGAGATGTGTAACATATTGTACTTAATGCAGTGGTTATAATTTCAAACTATGTATATAACTGGCTGTTTAAAAGCTTTAGCAGTGTATTAATCCTCAAAATAATTTGGTTTTGGACCTTGCCTGTTTGTGATTAAGTATACAAGGGTGCCATCTAGTGTCTCAATGAAATATCTATATATATAAATTTGTTAGGGGCATCCAACGGAGAAACAAAACTCAAAAACCCCCCAACAAAACTTAACCAAAATTCCCATGCCCATAACACAACCCACAAGGTACAAACATATCTACTCAAAATGAAAAACAACACAACAACACACTCACAAAACGGCAAAAAAACAAAACTCAAAAAAACCCCAACGAAACTTAACCAAAATTCCCATGCCCATAACACAACCCACAAGGTACAAACATATCTACTCAAAATGAAAAACAACACAACAACACACTCACAAAACGGCAAAACAACTGAGCATGCGCATTGGCGCCCAGCCGCAAGTTCCCTGGCGCGCGCACATGGCCTTCCGGCCAACGTTCCCTCTGCGGAAACCATGCCCACTCCAAGCCCCGCCGCGCTGCTTCCCGCACACACACACACCCTGCCGCACACACACACACAACCCCACACTCCATCACTCCCCCCCGCCGCCGCACACACACGCAACCCCACTCCCCCCGCCGCCGCACACACACACGCAACCCCACGCTCCATCACTCCCCCGCCGCCGCACACACACACGCAACCCCACTCCCCCCGCCGCCGCACACACACACGCAACCCCACTCCATCACTCCCCCCGCTGCCGCACACACACACGCAACCCCACGCTCCATCACTCCCCTGCCCCAATCTTACCTCCTTTTACTTCACGCCACCTCCAAACCCACCTTGCCCCTTCCCGCCCTGTCAAAATCTAGAAAAGACAGGAAGGAAGGAAAGAAGGAAGAAAGAGAAAGGGAGGTAAAGAAAAAGGGGGAAGGAAGGAAAGTTAGAGAAAGAAGGAAGAAGAAAGGAAAGATGGAAGGAAAGAAAAGAGAGACAGCAGAAAAGAAAGAAAAAGGGGGAAGGAAGGAAAGAGATAGAGAAGGAAGAGGAGAAGGAAAGATGGGAGGGAAGGAAGGAAGGAAGGAGGGAAAGAAGGAGAGAAAGAGGGAAGATTGGCCACAGCAACACGTGGCGGTTAAAGGTTGTTATTTCTATTATTATTATTATATTGTTCCTATGAGACCCTTTTAGGGGGAATGGGAGAGGTGTCAGGTCCCAGAGGCAATGCATTGCATTATTGTTATTGTTATGATGGTGGTAAAATAAAAGGAAATAAAAAGAGAAAGAAGGAAGCAAACAGGAAGGGAAGAAAGGCAAAGGAAGAAAGGGGGAGGGAATGAAGGAAAGAGAGAAGGATGAAACCAAGTAGTGAAAGAAGGAAAGAAAGAAAGAGGCAGAGAAGGAAGAAAGGAGAGAAAGGGGGAGGAAAAGGGGGAAGGAATAGGTAGGGACCTCTCTTTCATAATAGTCCAGATATCTACCTCAACTTTGATAAGTTTTACTATAGGCCACAGCAACGCGTGGCAGGGCACAGCTAGTTCTCTATAGATAGATATGTGTTTGTGTGTGTGTTTTCTGGCTCTTGGTTCTTGAAATCCCACTGTAAGCTCTATATGGGGTAATGCATAGAGCTGTCAATGCCTGCATAGATAGTCCAAAGTCCTTGCTTATTAGAGTCTAATTAAGCAAACAGTTTCACTTTCAACTCTCACAACCTCTGAGGATGCTTGCCATAGATGCAGGCGAAATGTCAGGAGGGAATGCCTCTAGAACATGGCCATATAGCCCGAAAAAACCTACAACAACCCAGTTTCACTTTCCCTCTCATTTTTAAAGAAAAGTTCTTGACATCCAATTTATGGAAAGGTTCTCAAATTAGAACTAAGCAAATTTCTCAGTGGTCTGCACTGGCCAAATTCAACAGACACAGCTATTCCCAGTACAGAGAATAAATAATGATAGACCCTACGATATCGTATACATAGACCATTTATCAGGGAAAGAAGGTTTAAAATATGTTCTCAGTATTGGCTAATCTTTTTGTAACATACAAATATGATTGTTGAGCTCAAAATAGATACTCTCCATGGTCCTTTTGCTCAACGCTCACATCTCACACTGCTCTTCTATCATCTAAGTAGAATAGATTTATTAAATGTGGATGCTACAGTTCAGTATGTTCCATTAAATTGAATAGGACATTTTTGTAGACATGGAAGGTAACCCCTTTGACTCCAAACTCATTTCTTCTTCCTTACCAAATTCCTCAAAGTAGATAACCCACCTTGAAGGAAAGAGAGAAAAGGGGACAGAAAGAATGGAGATGTGAAAAGACGAATAATAACAATAATAATAATAACAACAACAATAACAACAACAGGGCAGATTCCGCAGATTCCAGCATATACAGACACAGGCAAACATTCAATGCCTTGAAAGAATGACACACAGATTCACAGATAAATGAAGGCTTTCCCTTCATCTCCGGGTCTACAGGGTGATGCCCATCTCCAGCTCTGGGGGTGGTGCTCATCTCCATTTCACAGCCAAAAACTCTATCTTGTCTGTAGACACCTCCAAGGTCATGTGACTGGCATGACTGCATGGAGCACCGTTACCTTCCTGCAGAAGCGATACCTATTGATCTATTCACACTTGCATGTTTTCAAACTGTTAAGTTGACAGGAGCTGAGGCTAACAGCAGGAGCTCAGCCCATCCCGCGGATTTGAACCACCAACATTCTGGTCAGCAAGTTCAGCAGTTCAATGGTTTAACCCATTGCACCACCACGGTCCCATTTCATCATCCAGTTAATTCATTGCAGCTCATTCAAATAGTAATATGCAAACCCACAAAATAAAATAAATCAAAAATAGAGGAAAATTACGGGGAGTGATGGAATTAAATTTACCACCATCCCTGAAATGTTCATGTAGATCCATGGGGATAAGGCATAAAAAGACCAATCTTCAGTTCTAAAGGGACTGCCCATCTAAAGAGACAACCTGGAGTCTTCTTACTGAACAAATGAATCACACGAATTTTGTTTCAGGTCACCTTCTCCATTTTCTTCCTTCACAATGAGCTGGCCAGCACAGCACCACATAATGCTTTCCTTTCGATCCTAATCCTATTTCTAAGTTCCACCTGTCTTGTTGAATCTGACAGAAAGAGAGCCAAACCACTCCAATGCATTTCAATAAGTTAAAATAATAAGCTGATTCGTGAAATCTCGGGAGTTTGGCCATGCTGGCAAAACTCTTAACAAATTAACGATTTATTTAATCAAAAGTTTTACCAATGTTCTGAATAATGTCAATTGAAAATACTGCTTCACCCTAAAACACCAACATAAATTGTTTTCTTAATCTCCTCTTACAGCTCTTTTGAGGTGTCGTGTATTGCCTTTGAAGTGTTGCAGGGCTTGAAATATATGAACAAACATGGAATCGTCCACCGAGCTCTTGCGCCTCGAAACATCCTCCTGGATCAGGAGGTAAGGCTACAGTATATATTTCAGTCCACATCGTTTGTCTACATAATTTTGAGGCTTATACATTACACTCACATCTCTGGCACAACCACAAGAAAAGACTTGGTTTTTATTTTTTAAAATACAGCTTGCTGTTTCACATGCACCCAATTAATTTATCTTTGTTTAAAATATGCACATATCAAACCATGAGTTATAAATGGCTTTTTTTCAACAATTTCAATACTGTGAATATTTAAGCCTTTTTAACATTAACAACTGGCCACTTTGAGTCCTGGAAGAAAATAGAATAGTAATAGTAGTGATGATGATGATGATGATGTACTATTGTGTGTTCATTAAAAAATAGTAAACTACGGTACAGGCTTTTATTGTATTTTACAAAGAAGGAGCATAATAACAAAGAGTATAATTATGATTTAACGAAGATTGCAATAGCAATTAAAGAATATGATGCTTGATCAAATGTTCTCCTTTTTATTCTTTGTTCTTCTGATACAAAATGTGTTTGTCTGCTTATTTTCAAAGTCAGTCCTGCTTTTTAAAGTCATTCCATTCATATATTATTTTTCTGTATTTTTTTTTCTTAAAAATCATTATGAAGGAAAAGAAAGAAAGAAACAAGAATAGACACATTTTCAAAAAATGGAGGAATGAAAAGAATATAGAAACTAATGTGTACATTCTGATTTTTTTTTTAACAGGGACACATTAAATTGGCTAAATTTGGTCTTTATCACATGACAGCTTATGGTGCTGATGTTGATTTTCCTATAGGGTAAGTTGTACATTGTGAAATTTTAAATACTAGAGCTTTCTAGAGGCTGATAGAAATTAAAAATTGAACCCCTGCCAAATATTTCATAAATCTTAACTTTACACAGTAATGTCCAGTTGGTTGCTTGTTTTCTTGGCTATAGGTAACCCATGTATCATTTGCATATGTGTGTGAAGATGGGAAGATAAGACTATTTTTTAAAATCTCACCATTATCTCGTTATCACAAGCAGGGTTGGTGGGGATGAGGTAGAGGGCCTTCTCAGTGGTGGTCCCCCAACTTTGGAACTCCCTCCCCAGGGAGATTACACAAGCCCCACACTGTACACTTTTCTCAGGGAGCAGAAAACTTGGATGTTTCAGCAAGCATTCGAGAATGATTGGCCCCATTTATAAATGCCCAGTCCCTAGTTCACCAGATAGTACGTTGTTTTCTTTAACCTGCCCAATTCCATGGCCCTATATTTTGCCTTTGCATTTTCCCATGCTCAGCCCTTTTGATAGCCAGGTCTTGCCCATTGTAGTAGCCTGGTTCCTGGATTTAAGTACTGATTGGATGGAGTTTTAATGCTAATGGTTTATACTTTTATGTCTTTTTAACTTGGTTTTTAGCTGGACAAATGCTCCATTTCGTTATGTTCTTCTTTTAGTTGTTTTTGTTGGATGGATTGTTTGTTTATTGTCTTATGGACATTTGGTCCCATGTAAGCCTGCCCGAGTCACTTCAGGGAGATGGTGGTGGGGTCTAAGAATAAAGTTATTACAATATTATTATTAAAGATTTAATTTCTTACTTTAAAATATACATTATTTAATGAGGCAACTTTTCATTAGAATAAATGCCAAATTTGCCTCTTCAGACTTGCCAGTGTTGTAATTATACTTTTCTTTCTATAGATATCCGTCATATCTGGCACCGGAAGTTATTGCGCAAGGAGTTATCAAACGTAGTGAACATACACAAAGTGAAAAGCCTTCAGGACCTAAATCTGATGTGTGGTCCCTTGGTATTATATTGTTTGAGCTTTGTATAGTAAGTAATTTATGTGACTTTACATATTTAAGCTACAACGTTATGGATTCACTTCTGACCAAAACGTATTTATGCAAATGTGTTTTCACGGAATATTCACAATACGGTACCAGCTTTCAAGTAGTGAGTCATCTTACTAGAGTAGCACATAAAAGGAAAAAAAGACCACAAAGTTAAATTACTGTAATATACAAATAAGAATCACAGCGGTGTCATAAGTCAGAGAAGGATTCAATTTTTTTTTTTGGGGGGGGGGGATTACTGAAAGAAAATAAATCAGTACGATATATTACATGATTGGGTTGCTGTGAGTTTTCCAAGCTGTATGGCCATGTTCCAAAAGCATTCTCTCCTGACGTTTCACTTGCATCTATGACAGGCATCCTCAGAGGTTATGAGGTCTGCCTGCCATAGATGTGGGCAAAAGGTCAGGAGGAAATGCTTCCGGAATATGGCCATACAGCCCAGAAAACTCACAGCAACTCAGTGATTGCAGCAACAAAAACCTTTGACAACACATATTGCATGATTGTCTCAAAATCTTATTTTTCTAATATAGGCAAGCATATTTTATACACTCTACACCTCTTCAGAATCTTTATCTTATGTATTGTGTTTATAGTACATAGTGCAAACCTATGCAATAAAGATTTGTTGAAATATAATCACAGCATTAGGCTATCTTTTAGTAAATGTCTTTTTTGGCTTGAATGTTTTGGAGATTGCTCTATAAGTCCTGAGAACCTCCAAAAAGTTAATTTTGAAACACACACACATTCCCCTCAAAGTCATCTGGCACAGCATTACACCTTTAAAAGGCCAGTCCTTAATTAAGAAATTACCCATCTAGCACATCCAAATGTGAATTGCTATTTGTCATAATGACTTTGAAGTTAGTACTGCAATTTCTAATGAGCATGCATCTGTTTCTTAAGACATTAAAACAGATTTGTGAAAAACAATTTCTTATTATCATGGATGTCTGTGTTAACAGAAGATTTAAGAGTCTACGGTGGCAATGCATTTCATAAAGATGCTTCATTAATCACTTATCTTACTGTTGCCTTCAGGGCAGAAAACTATTCCAGAGTTTGGATGTAGCTGAAAAGCTAAAACTTGTACTTAACCTTGGTGAGTAATGTGAACTGTAAAATCCCAGATGAATCAAAGCTTATAATATTGATTTGGAAATGCAGTGTTTTCAGAATGTAGAAAACAGAGTGTTTTCAGAATGTATGAAAGTTGAAAAGTTAAACTTATATTACAACAGCAATGCTAATAAACAGCAGATGAATATGGTTAGTAATACTTTTAAATGAAAATGCAAAAGATATAAATGGATGAAAAGCTGGAAAAGTTATTGCTTATTGTAGATATTTTATTTTTCACTTATGTCCATAATCCAAGAGAGAGTTCGCAAACACAAAAAAGGTGTAGTTGCTTATGAGCTGACCATACTATTAGGTTGTACATAGTTTTGCTCACATTATCAAGGGAACTTACCATGGGCATTTGTGCAGTTCACAAAACACTAGTGCAGAGCTCCCAACAGGCATGGAAATGGTTACTTGATGCTTAATGCAAACACTAACTAGGGCTCATTATTCACCTTACTTTAGCATTCCAGTAGATAAGGAGATAAGATCACCAGTATTCCAGGAGATAAGAACGTGAGGTCTCCAGTATTCCAGGAGATAAGAACATGAGATCACCAGTATTCCAGGAGATAAGAACATGAGATCACCAGTATTCCAGGAGATAAGAACATGAGGTCACCAGTATTCCAGGAGATAAGAACATGAGGTCACCAGTATTCCAGGAGATAAGAACATGAGATCACCAGTATTCCAGGAGATAAGAACATGAGGTCACCAGTATTCCAGAAGATAAGAATGTGAGGTCCCCAGTATTCCAGGAGATAAGAACATGAGATCACCAGTATTCCAGGAGACAAGAACATGAGATCATCAGTATTCCAGGAGATAAGAACGTGAGGTCTTCAATATTCCAGGAGATAAGAACGTGAGGTCTCCAGTATTCCAGGAGATAAGAACGTGAAGTCTCCAGTATTCCAGAAGATAAGAACATGAGGTCACTAGTATTCCAGGAAATAAAAATGTGAGGTCTCCAGTATTCCAGGAGATAAGAACATGATATCACCAGTATTCCAGTAGATAAGAACATGAGAACATCACTTAGTTGTGAGAAGGCATTGGGATAAAATTTTGCCAGAGTTACTTTACTTTTTTGTCCACAAATATTCTAGATAGGGAGAGAAAATCAAAGTGGGATTTCTTCTCCTAGATGCACCTGGAAGGATTAGCTTGCCATGTTGGTGAATCAATGATCCAACTCTGTTTAGAGGAAAAATGCATTTGTGTCCCAATCCTACCTGCTCTATCCAAAAGGAATGGAAGCTCTAGTCTAAACCAAAGATTCTTATACTATAATATAGCTTTCCAAAATTGTCAAGTCACTGCTGCAAAGTGCATGAAAATTCCACAATGCTAAAAGAAGTGATAGAAGTCAAGTTTCAGTAGGTTACATTTGGTATCAATAGATCATTTTCAGTCTCCTATAAAGTAAACAATCATGCTCCAATCCTTGCTACATAAACCATTTAACTTGATGGGAGCTGCCATGGGTTCCTTGCTAGGAGAAAGGTAGGATATAATTTAATTAATGTATTATTGTTGTTGTTGTTATCATTATTATTAACTTTATTTATACCCTGCTTTTCTCCCCGTGGGGACTCAAGGCAGCTAACAATCTCACACTTAGTCAAGTTAAAAAAGTGCAATACAAAAGTTAAAAACAATTAAATAGCAACAGTGTGGTAAAAACAGATTGAAATACAATAAATATACTTAAAACAGCCTGAAACATGATGAGAGGTTATAATGAGATTACTACTAGTTCAGTTGATTGCTGTACATGAAGCATCTGTTGGTTTATTATTATTTATTACATGTAGTTTTAAATCACATTTCTGCTTACTGGAGCATGTAGAGCAAAGTCCATTAAACAGGGAGGGAGAAGGCCAATATGTCCTTGGCCGATGCAACAATCTCATCCCATTTTCATTTGCAGGTTGTGTGGATGATATTCTAACAGTACTGGCTGAGGAACATGGATGTTTGGACATTATTAAGGTCTGAATACCTATCTTTCTTTCCATGGTATAATAATTGTTGTTAATGGTCATCAAGTCAACTTTGGCATGGCCACCCTATGAATGAGGAACCTCCAAACCTTCAGACTCAGGGTAGTGGCTTCATTGATTGAATCTCGCTGCCTAGAGTATTGTCTTCCTCTTTTTCTACTGCCTTCTACCTTGCCAAGCAAGTCTTTTTAGTGAGTTATGACTTCTCATGATATGGCAATGTACAACAGTCTCAGTTTAGTCATCTTGGCTTCTAGAAAGAGTTCATGTTTGATATGCTTTAAGATCTATTTCTTTGTCTTTTTAGCAGTCCACAGGCTCCATGGTATAATTATAGCTAACAGTAATAGCATGATAGTATTTTCTTGAAGTTGGTATTACACAAGATGTGTTGGTGTTTATTCGTTCAGTTGCTTCCGACTCTTCATGACCTCATGGACCAGCCCATGCCAGAGCTCCCTGTTGGCTGTCGCCACCCCCAGCTCCTTCAAGGTCAAGCCAGTCACTTCAAAGATAACATCCACCCATCTTGCTCTTGATTGGCCTCTCTTCCCTTTTCCTTCCATTTTCCCAGCATCATTATCTTCTCCAGGCTTTCCTGTCTTCTCATTATGTGGCCAAAGTACTTCATCTTTGTACAAAAGATGTACAATTTAACAAAAAGTATTGTGACAGACCTCAAAGTGATTTCTGCAGTGGGTTTAATCCAGATTTAGGTATCTACAGTGGAACTGGCAGAAGTATACTTTTCCTCTCTCTTCTCCTCATAGTCTGAGGATGCTAAAACTGTCAGTGGTTCAGGAGATGAGAGAAGAAAATGATGGAAGCATCTTCCATGGGCAATGTTCTATTAACTGAAGTTGCTTCTTTCTGATTTTGGAGAGTGTTTCTTTCATTTAACAGGGTTCCCTAACTATATGTAGCATCTATCTATGGAAAAAGCTGATGCAAACAAATTTTCTTTTGTCTTCTCAGTTTTACGCCTCTTAATTCAGTCCAACCCTTGTCACTTTGTCCTTTTTCCTTCAGCATAGCACACGATTACGATTTAGTTAGTATATTCTTAGCGTCTCTCTCTCTCTCTCGCTCACTCACTCGCTCCCTTTTCTGTTAATATGAATCTGGTATAGTGACAGATTTAGCAAAACTCTATAGAGAAGCTGTGCAGATTTTACTAAAATTATGAAGTTTATATCATCAGCTTGAAATTCTATAATTTAATGTAGCTTTAATGTTATAGACGAAATTTCTTTGTAGAAATTTGTCTTGGTTTCTTGGAATCTGTACTTGACAAAAATCTGACATAGAAGCTATAGCTTTTGTAATGTCCCTAGAGTTCAACAAAAAGCATTGTTCTTTTTTATTTGGAATTAATTCTGAATAAACTGGGGATAGTTTACGCCATCTACCATAATACACAATGCAGATTTTGACAATGGGATTTATACATTTCTCCACCAGGAGGTTCCTGAAAATGTTTTAACTCTGCTGAGAAAGTGTCTCACGTTCTATCCTTCAAAGAGGTGAGTGTACATTGGAAATACATTAAAGGGATTTGGGACGGCTTGCATGTGGCACAAAGTGCGTGAAACAGCATAAAATAAACACACAGTACAGTACAATACAATAAAGTAAAACATATAGCATATAAAACAACAATTTAAAACTCAAAACAATGCCCAATAACCTATGGTGACAACTATCATAAGACATGTCCATACTGTAAACAAGACAATGGAATGGGATAGTGCAAATTGTAGCTAAGGAAAAGGACATGGGATGAAAATGCAGTGCTGTGTCATTTATTATGGACCATGAAAGCTAGACGTTCTCAAAGGCTTGTCTAAACATCCATGTCTTCAGATCTCTACGGAAGGAGGACACCGTGGGGGCATGCCTAATCTCCCTGGGGAGGGTGTTCCAAAGTCAGGGGGCCACCACCAAGAAGGCCCTTTCCTTCGTCCCCACCAATTGCGCTTGTGACGGTGGTGGGACAGAGAGGAGGGTCTCTCTGGCAGATCTTAACATTTGCACAGGTGCATAGAGGTGGGTGCAAGCACGAAGATAGGCAGGTCTGAACCATTTAGGGCTTTATAGATAAGAGCCTGCACTTTGAATTGAGACCGGAAACTTATTGGCAGCATGGGATGCTTTAATAAGGGCATTGTGTGCTCCCTATAGCCAGGGAGAAGATTCACTATTAAATTAAGTGAATCGTCTCTAAAGTAAGTGAAATCTGCTACCACACTTTCATTACTTAGCTTTAAAAATCACCATGCAGAAGGCATTCCAGTTAAGACTCCTGTTCACATACAACTTCCTTCCTTCTCTGTCTCCATCAGTAGAACACTCAAATGAGCAATTTCATGCTCAAATGAGCAACTGTTTGTCACTTGAAAAGCAGTGGTAAGTTGTATACGTAAACTCAATTGCAAAAGATTAAACTATGTAGTATACTTTTAAATTTTCTTTGTACTTTGCATGATAAAATATACACTATGATGACAAAAATTGCTAACAAATAGGAAAAGTCAGAGAATTGTAGTATTGAAGGTTCACTGAAACAATTAGCTCTTAGATAAAGTTGCGTAGGACTTGAACTGTGGAATGAATTTATATGGGAAAGATATACCATGTAGAAAATTCATTATTTATATGGTTTTTGTTCTTGGTTTTTTGTGTACATTTTAAGCAGTTCATTTTTTACATGAGCTCAGATATTTTCCATTCCATCTTCTTTTTCTGTTATTCAAGGCCTACACCTGACAAACTGCTGAATGATCCCATTTTCAGTGAAATATCATCACTATACCCAACCTTCCACAAACCTGCCAGCCTCTTCTCACCCACTCTAAGATGTGCCAACTTAACTCTTCCTGAAGACATTAGTCAACTGTTTGAAGGTAAAAAGAGAGAGAAGAACTAATATCTGAACAGCTTAAAATAACTAAGTACAAATTAGTACAGGAAGCATCAAGTTTGGAAATATTGCCTTGGTAAGTTGCTACCAAATGGACACTTGGCCAGATGGAACAACAGTTAATACTCATCATAGGTTCAATATATTCAGATCCTTCACTTAGAACTCAGTGATGGGTTATTTTTAATTGTTTCATGGTTTCCAAAGGAAAGATTTTTATGTTGGCCTCAATTGTGATATACAGTCGAGTCTTGCTTATCCAACATAAACGGGCTGGCAGAACGTTGGATAAGCAAAAATGTTGGATAATAAGGAGGGGTTAAGGAAAAGCCTACTAAACGTCAAAATACATTATGATTTTACAAATTAAGCACCAAAATATCATTTTTTTTTACAACAGATCGACAGAAAAAGCAGTTCAATACATGGTAACGTTATGTAGTAATTACTGTATTTACAAATTTAGCACCAAAACATCATAATGTATTGAAACAGCTGTGTGTCCGGGTGGGAGGCAGACTGTGTTGGATAATACAGAATGTTGGATGAGTGAAGGTTGGATAAGCGAGACTATACTGTAGTTAGCTTTTCCCAAACTGGTGCCTTCTAGATATTCTTAACTTCAGCCTACATCAGATTTGGCTCATGACCTTTCTGGCTGAGGCTGGTGAGAAACAATAATTACTTGCAGGGGAATAATGAAGGATAGATATCTTAAAATGCATTTTGCTAACCATTCAAAGATAAATAAGAGGAAAGCATTTGAAGCAAACTAGGTGGGCTTCATACAGTCTGTTATTTATTGTCACCATATCCCATTAAACCGAAAATGAAAAGTATCTTTTAAATAACAAATAAAACATTTGTTAAATGGTTCCCTGTTGCATTTATTGTGTTTTCATTTTTCTAATACGAAGTCAAGATGGAGATGTTGCTATGTTAGCCCTCTTGCTATGGAGTAATCCCGCAGATTGTCCAGCTGCTTTTTTGCCTCTTGTGCTTCCAAAGGGAAGATCGTTTATCTCTAATAACATTGTTTGAGGAATTGTTCCTGTTATTTTATGTCTAACGATATGTGTGTTTTGAATGCTGGGAAAAATCTTAAGAGTTTCTGGAAAGTCTATAATGTTGTATTTGTTGGCTTCTGTTAATAGAGGAAAACTCTGATTACCTAGCAGAAAGGTCAATTGAAGAAGTTTATTATCTCTGGTGCTTGGCTGGAGGGGACTTGGAAAAAGAACTTGTCAACAAGGAAATCATTCGTTCAAAGCCACCCATCTGTACCCTTCCCATGTAAGGAGTGGAAAACTGCTTTGGGGGGTGGAAGCTTGAGGAAAAGAGTTAATTTGTGCAGTTATTTTAAAAGGAAGAAAGGAGGTCTACTTTCTATAAAACACTTTTGAGTATCATGTGACAATGTGCTGTTAGTGTTGTGCTAAATGTTGTTGCCATTTCAAAATCTATGACCTCAGTTTTTAATGTAATCTTGCCATAATTTCTGTTTTGGGAGAAAGGCAGAATATATATCATTCACACACACACACACACACACACACACACACACACAATATTTATGTCACAACAGAGACACTTCTAATAACCTGAGAGTTACTAGAGCAGATTTTTTCATATTTATGAAACTTAGTAATAGCCAAGTTAATTCTCACTGGTTTCAGTGGATCTTTCCTCTGTTTTAGAATGCTGATGTAAAAGATGTTGCACAATGTGATTTCCAGTTGTGCAACTGGTTCTAGAAGGGCGAGTGCCAAAGAAATATTAAGATTGGATATATTACATTAGTACAACTGGAAGAACCAATGGACTTTTGGTGTGTGAGAGAAGTCTACCTTGCCAAGACCTGGATTTTCCAGAAGTCAGTACACACTGCATCCGTTTCTTCTTGTTTCTCTCCAAGGAAAGAAACAAAAGAAGCTGAGTTGCTCTTTCTCTGTTTCAAGCAAGTGTGAATGTTGCAATTGGCCACCTTGATTAGCATTAAATGGTCATGCAGCTTCAAAGACTGGCTGCTGTCTGCCGGGGGGAATCCTTTGTTGGGAGGCCCTGATTGTTTCCTGCCTGAAATTCCCCTGTTTTTTGAATTCACCTGGATTCCAGACAGGAAACAATCAGGGCCAGCTAACACCTCCCAACAAAGCATTCCCCCAGGCAGGAAGCAGCCAGTCTTTGAAGCTGCACAGCCATTCAGTGCTAATCAAGTTGGTCAATTGCAACATTCACACTTGCCTCAAATAGACAAGAGTTCTTTCTCCTACCCTGGACATTCCACAGACATGTAAACCTCACTTGCCTAGTTTTCCACAGTCCTCACAACCTCTGAGGATGCCTGCCATAGATGTGGGTGAAATGTCAGGAAAGAATGCTTCTGGAACATGGCCATACAGTCCGGAAAACTCACAGCAGCCCAGTGATTCCGTCCATGAAATCCTTCAACAACCTTAAAGAAGCTGACTCTATTTTTTAATTAAGGAGGCAGATTAATATAAGAAATCAGGAACACTTAAGATAAAATTAGAGACGGATGCGCTTTTTGTGTCCATTTTTTCCTTCATTTGTTATATCTGTATCACTTTCCTTCAAAGAGAAGAAGGTGGCACACATGGTCTTCTACTCCCTTCTCTATCCTCCCAACAATTCTGCTTTATTAAAAGAAAAATAAAGCCAATTCAGCTCTGAAATTATTATAACATTGTTTGGCCTCGTATGCTTGTTCAGCCCACTGATTTCATACATAAAGATAAAGTTATGCATACTGTGCATTAATCTGAAGTATTGTATGTTTCTTCTAGTTTTGTGTTGGAGGATGGAGAGAGCTTTGGACAAGGGCGAGATAGAAGCTTTCTTTTGGATGACACAACGGTCACACTCTCTCTGTGCCAGCTGAGAAATGTAAGAAGAAATATTTATAAATATATGTGTATCATTGTACCATGTGTTTTGACAGGGGATGTGTCTAATGACAAATATTTAGCTCAGAAAACCCTCTTACAGTGATGAGGCTTATTAAATATGGTTTTCTATGGATGAACAGATGGCGACTACTGGATGGCATATGTTCTGTATCAGAAACTAGACGCGATGTGGTCTATCCAACGCAATTTTCTAAATCAGTTAACCAAAATCTGATTCATAACCTTTTTGGTACAAACGTTAGATAGTGACCCCTGATCAAGTAATCCCTAGTTAAAAAAAAGTTGGGAGCTACTGGTTTATTTGTTCTGAAGTGATTTTAAGCCTGGATTGCATGTCCTTGGGTGTTTTTTTTGTTTTGTTTTGTTTTGCTAGCATTCTTATTGTTCCTTCAGATGTTTTGAAACTCATCTCTCAGAAACAACAGTCAGTGCAACTAATGATCAAGGATGCTCAAAGTTCAAAACAACTGGAGGACTAAGTGTTGACAACCATCAATCTCACTAAAACACAGGTTTCTAGTTAGATCAGTGGTTCTAGGGTGCCTTACATTGATAGAAAAAGCTCCTTATTACACACATTTTCCCCTAAGTGTATGAGGATAGACACAGGTACTGAAATATCAGTTCTTCCACTATAAAAATGAGTGAAGATGAAAAATTCAGAGATTGTTCTCTTTTGAGAAAATCTAGCCTGAGTCTTACTTGCCAAACTGTGTAGTACTAACTGAAAATTTTCCTTTAGCAATCAGAATCCCCCAAGCATGATTGCTGGAAGAGTTTGTAATCAAGGGGATCAGCACTGCATAAAGTAAAAGGCTTTTAAACTGAAGTGCAGATCCCCAAAGAACTTCATGGTATTAAGTTTAATCATGTTGGGTTGTCAAATCTCTGATTAATTTGACATGTTGTATTTAGGGCTATAGCTAGAAAAACATCGACAGTTTAAATGATCTCCATATTCTCCATCATTTTTTTCTTGTTCTACCTGATTATTGGTTGCAAAGAAACCCAATAACATGTATATAACAAGATAGATTTAAATAAGGTTTCTACTCTTGAATAGGAATGTGCATCTTTTCGGTTACTGTTTCAAATTAGAACATGAAGTGTTGCAAAAAGGAAGTGGGTATTACTGACTGATTCATCACATAAGTAGCCAAATCAGAGTTTGAAAATAATGTGTTACAAATCATGGTGTTGCTTTTAGTAATAATTAAGTGATGCATTAACTATTTAAATAATGTTCCCAACTCCCTTCTGAGTAACCAGTGTCAGTTGTTTGCAAGAATGATAAGAGGAAGAAGGAAAGTGGGCTTCCGCTAGTTTGATATTTAAGGATTACCTTCTGGAAACTGGAAATAAATTTACGCTAGTGTCGGATGCCTCTTCAATTTGCTAAACGGATCCAAATTCAGAATAAGTAGATTATAGCCATTCCAAAGGCCCCTGAGCAGGTTAGTACTTGGATTATTTATTTCTCTTGCCAGAAGTGAGTTGAGGGTGCAGTTAACATGTATTTAAAAACACAAAATTTAAGAACTTGGCATTATGCTAGATTTTCTTTGACCAGAAGCTGGCCACTTGGGGTGCCTCTGATGTTGCTGTGAGAAGGTCCTCCATTTTGCATGTGGCAGGGCTCAGATTGAATTGTAGTAGGTGATCTGTGGTTTGCTCTTCTCCACACTGAGAGAAACCATGAGACACGAGAGAAGCCTCCCTGCAGGATCATAACACATCCAGCCGTCGCCTGGCAATGTCTTCATAGACAGCTGATTCCCTCACACCAGAAGCGACTTGCAGCATGCAGCCAACCAAACAAACAAACAAACAAATGGACTTTTTTTAGGACCAACCATGTCAATAATCTCAATTAACATTGAAGGCCTGTCAGCTGCCAAAGAACAGCTGCTTTATGAATTATGAAATGCTCATATAAGAAATGTAATGTGCTTTGTGTCCAAGAAACACACAGAGATAACAATAGAAATGACCAAAAGTTCCAGGAATGATCTTAGTACTTAGATGGGAGACCACCAATGAATACCAGGTGCTTATATGTCGTTATAAATGCAGATTATCTTTCTAATACTCAGTATTTTATTATCTCTCATAGAGGCTGAAAGATGTTGCTGGGGAAGCCTTTTATCCCTTGCTTGAAGATGAGTAAGTAAATAGAAGTAGTTGTTCACGTGAGGAGATCAATTAGTTTTATGAAATGTCTATAATGGGCCAGGATTATGATCAGTAAAGCTCTGTTTGGTAGCATTCAGTGATCTATTTTTGGCTATCGGTTAAATGGACCTAACATGGAACAGGGACCAGATCAGTGAGCTTCACTGAATCCATCCATTTCTTCCTCTAGAATGGGCTTGAGGTTGAGTAAGCAAATAAGATATGCAGAACTAGTGGCATATAAATTGACTCGATAATACCAGAAGCACCAACATTATCCTTATATCAGAAGCTTCTTAGTACTTTATACATTTATCTTTTGTTCAAAATCCTCTTGGAGTAGAGATTAAAAAGAATGAGCTCTTCTTTTTTAAGGAGTGTTTCTATTGCAAGAGGAGGAGTATTCAGTTACATTAGCTTTTTCAACCTTCCTTTCACAGCAGTTATGAGCAAAATGTAAAGCCTACCAGTGGATTTTTTTAAACTCTGTATGGTTGTCCATCATCACTGTCTCAATCTTTTTTATATAAAACACCTTGAATTGCACTCAGAAAAATGCATTTCTCATAAAAACCCAAAGGGGGATTGCAAACCAGAAATGACATTTCCTTAGTATTATTTTTGAACTTTTTAGTACCATTAGAGCAGTGCTCCTCAACCTTCCTCATGCCACAACCCCTTAATACAGTTCCTCATGTTGTGGTGACCCCCAATCATAAAATTATTTTTGTTGCTACTTCATAACTATAATTTTGCTTCTGTTATGAATTGTAATGTAAATATCTGATATGCATGATGTATTTTCATTCACTGGACCAAATTTGACACAGATACCTGATATGCCCAAATTTGAATACTAGTGGGGTTGGGGAGGGATTAATTTTGTCGTTTAGAAGTTGTAGTTTCTGGGATTTATACTTAACCAACAGTCAAAGAACATTCTGAACTCCACCTACAATGGAATTAAACCAAACTTGGCACACAGAACTCCCATGACCAACAGAAAATACTGGAAGGGTTTGGTGGGCATTGATCTTGAGTTTTGGGGTTGTAGTTCACCTACATCCAGAGAGCACTGTGGACTCAAACAGTGATATTTCTGGACCAAACTTGGCACAAATACTCAATATGCCCAAATGTGAACACTAGTGGAGTTTGGGGAAAATATACCTTGACATTTGGGAGCTGTAGTTGCTGGGACTTATAGTTCACCTACAGTCAAAGAGCAGTCTAAACTCCACCAACGATAGAATTGGGCCAAACTTCCCACACAAAATCCCCATGCCTTGAAGTGCCTTGCTGGTATGAGCCTCCCTTCAAACTCGCACACTCTCCCTTGCCCACATATGCACACCATGCTGCCATGTGCCAAGCATGCCTGCTCTCCCCTGCCTGCTTGGAGTCTCAGAAATATCCCTCCCCTTTCTGAGATGCCGGCTAATCACAGCGAAAGAGAGCTTTAGGTGGGAGGTGCCATCTGTTTCCAAAAAGGAAGAGAAGAACAGGCAGAGAGATCGTCAGCCTTCTCTGCCAAAGGGATTTCTAAAACCATCAGAAATATATGTTTTCTGGTGGTCTTTGGTGGCCCTTCTGAAACCACCTCATGTCCTGACCCCCAGGTTAAGAAAAACTGCATTGGAGGATGATTGGGGTCCACAAAAGGGTAAATTAACCCCCAGATCCACAAAAGCTGTCCACTCTGTATAAAATGTCATCCTTATTTACACCTAGTTCCTCTGTTCTGTTCCAGCCAGTCAAATGTACCCCATTCAAATAGCAGTAATGAATTATCTGCTGCTGCTAATCTTCCTCTTATCATTCGAGAACGGGACACAGAATATCAGCTGAACAGAATTGTCCTATTTGATAGACTGCTAAAGGTGAGTAGCACTCATAAAGCTAGACTCATTCTGTTTCCCACAGTCTACAGGTTCTCAGTTTTTATCTATTTTGCCATTGAATGTATCCTGCAATTAAATATGATGCAGGTTTCATTCATCTGAAATCAATAACATGAAATTCAATAGAGACAAATGCAAATCTCTACCGTTAAGCTGCAAAAAAACCAAAAGCACAGGTACATGATGCAGGGCAACTGGCTCAGCATTACTACATGTGTAAAGGGACCTTGGTATTATTGTTGATCATAAGTTGAACATGAAGCAGCAATGTGATGTTTCAGCAAAGAAGGAAAATGCTATCTTAGCCTGCATTATTAGAAGTATAATTTCCAAGTAAAATGAAATAATGCTATATTCTGTGCTGGTCAGGCTTCATTTGGAGCACTGTTTTTAATTCTGGGAGCCTCCTTTTAAAAAGGATATTGACAAGTTGTAGCCAGTTCAGAAAAGGGCAATGAGGATGATAAGAGAATTCGGGGGAAAGGCACATGAGGGGAGGTAAGAGCTGAGCATGTTCCACTTGGTGAGGAGATGACTGGACTGTGGGATGACATAATCACACTCAAAATATCTGCTACAAAGACTTGTTCTCAGCTGCCTTGGAGGGTAGAACTATGTGTAATGGTTTTAAGTTATAGGAAGGTAAATTTTGATTGAATATTAGAAGGGAACCTCTTGACCATGAGAGAGCTTCCACATTGGGCCCTATAGCCTGAAGAATTGATGGGGTCTTCTTCTCTGAAGGGGACATGGTGTCGCAGCAGGTTAGACCGCTAAGCTGCAGAACTTGCTGACCAGGAGGTCGGTGGCTTGAATCTGTGGGGCGGGGCTGAGTTCCTGTTGTTAGCTCCAGCTTCTGCCAACCTAGCAGTTCAAAAACATGCCAATGTGAGTAGATCAATAGGTACCACTTTGGTGGGAAGATAACGGCACTCCATGTAGTCATGCTGGCCACATGACCTTGGAGGTGTCTATGGACAATGCCGGCTCTTCGGCTTAGAAATGGAAATGAGCACCACCCCCCAGTCGGACATGACTAGATTTAATGCCAAGGGGAAACCTTTACTTTTTCTTCTCTGAACAACTTCAAAAGGAGGATGGCTAGCTATTTTCTGTGAGTGCTATAATAGGAGATCCTGCATTGAGCAGGATAATTGGACTTGATTATCCATAGGTCCCTTCTAAGGTTTACTTGTTAAATTTTTCAGCTATATATCAATATATAGTGACTTCATTATATTTCATAGTATGCAATACTACAATACAAATGTAGTATACACTTGTTAGCTGTTTATTGTAATTACTTCTAATATGCTATTTCTAATACTCTAACATTTCATGTGTATAGGCATATCCATACAAAAAAAATCAGATTTGGAAAGAAGCCAGAGTTGACATTCCTCCACTGATGAGGGGTTTAACTTGGGCAGCCTTACTTGGAGTTGAGGTAAGAATAAGAGGAATAGTTTTTAATTGTGTATATTAGGAGACGTTTACTTCTTGGGAGGAGAGCAGTGACCAGTTATGATAAAATGATGAAAGTAGAGACATCACACTGGCAATAAAGATCCACATACTTAAAGCAATGATATTCCCCGTAGTAACCTATGGATGTAAGAGCTGGACCAAAAGGAAGGCTGAGCAAATGAAGATAGATGAACTGTAGTGCTGGAGGAAAATTCTGAGAGTGCCTTGTACCACAAGAAGATCAAACCAGTCCATACTCTAGGAAATAATGCCCAGCTGCTCACTGGAGGAAAGGATATTAGTGGCAAAGATGAAGTACTTTGGCCACATAATGAGAAGACAGGAAAGCTTGGAGAAGATAATGATGCTGGGAAAATGGAAGGAAAAAGGAAGAGGGGCTGACCAAGGGCAAGATGGATCGATGTTATCCTTGAAGTGACTGGCTTGACTCTGAAGGAGCTGGGGGTGGTAATGGCTGACAGAGAGCTCGGCCGTGGGCTGGTCCATGAGGTCACAAAGAGTTGGAAATGACTGAATGAATAAACAACATTAGGAGGCATTGATGACATTATAACTGATAATTTCTTTTTCTAAGAACTATATAGTAGACAAATAATGTAAGGCAGTTTCTTTTTTTCTCTTGGACAAGAAAGGATAGACATTTGTTGCTTTTACAATGTAACTTTTAAGTCATGTCAACCTTCTGGTGATCCACTTTTCGTCTCAATCTTTTCTGAAGTTGAAAATAGTATTGAAGGTGACTGGTTGGTTTTTGATTATTGTACTCCATGGGAAATATCTTTCAGATCAGTAAAAGGATATGGGGACAGAACTGACTCTAGTGAAGCAGACTTTAGTGAAAGTCATCTCATTGGAGTGGGGTGCCAAGTGTGAAGGACCTTTGAGGAATTTGTTGGACTTTATTTAGAGTCTGATTTAGTCACACTCTTAATTACAGCAACTTTCTTAAGAGATAGATAGGGGCCTTTTGCTTCAGCCTTCATCTTTGTCTGCTCCACATCCATTCAGAGAGGCTCCAGTGGAAGAAAAGGACAGGCAATGAAGATGATCAAGAAAAAGTGACCCTTTTCCATGTGTTGCTCCCCATTCATGTGGAGAATCGCAAGAAATCCTTGACCAACCCGAGCTTTGGCACCCACAAGATCAAAACATATGAATATAGTCCGTGAATGTAGGCACACAAAACCAGTTGGCAAATTGTATTAAAACACCAGACTGCAATGCATTAGGTTTTATATTTGATGTTGTGGTTTGCACAAAGAACTGGGAGTGTGGACAGATTTTTTTTTAATGTGAGCTATCCAGGTCGGAAAAGTAGAATATTGAACATACCTCAGAGTGTGTCCTTGAGAAGATTATATTTCCCAAAATTTACCTGAGTATTTTGTCCTGTCATGAGACTATCCACAGAATGAAACTCTTGTTTGAGTTCCTGAAAGATGGATTTTGTTGTCATTTCTAATATTACAGCTTGGGTTTATGCTGCAACAGCCTCAGTGGTGTTTGCAAATATATCAACTGTAATTGATAATTTCTTGTGCATTTTAGGGTGACATTCAAGCAAAATATGATGCCATTGATAAGGACACTCCAATTCCTACAGACAGACAAGTAAGATTCTTCTTTTATTTTGGGGAAGTAATTGCTTGAATTATATAGCGACCAGATAGATGATCAAATAGAATTTCTGCTGCATAAAAATGCTTCACAGTTTGTGTTTTGATTCATAACCTTTCATGAAAAAGCTATTACCAGCATCATTTTTGCAACATAGAGGTGAAACTGACAATAATGTGTGCAATTAAAGAATATATATCCATATACTATCTACAGTTGACTCCACATGTGATTGAGCAATCACTAGTGAAAAGGAGCTCAGCTCATTATAATGATTTTAACCTTCCTGAAATAGAGCATTCTGTGTAAAAGGCAAAGGAACTTATATACTCTCTATGATATAGTTCTCCTCTGTGACATTTCTTCATGTTCACTCATGAATTTGGATCAGTTCCTATAAAGACACCAGGACTGCTTTTTGGCTCATTACCATCAAGAGAGAATTATACTGCACACTTCAGATATTAAATTCTAATACTTGGTTTGCATCTATGCACAGCAACCAGAGCTTAGAAATATAATCAACAGTATAGTGCTCTCTTAATGGACTTCCATACTTCCCATTTTCTTATTTTCCCTGTCTTCTTTTCCTAGTGTACCATGGGTTCAGGGGCTTGGAGAACTCTTTTCTGGACTATATCTCCCAGAATCCCAAAACCAGCATGGTTAGTGGGAAGATTGCTGAGAAACTATGGAAAATAGAGTCCCAAAAAGTGCTTTTTTCCTTCAAATGCCTCCTGGAATGATAATCAACCATCTAAAACAAGGGTCCTCAAACTAAGGCCCGGGTGCTGGATACGGCCCTCCAAGGTCATTTGCCCGACCCTTGCTCAGGGTCAACCTAAGTCTGAAAGCACATAACAACAACAATCCTATCCCATCAGCCAAAAGCAGGCCCACACTTCCCATTGAAATACTAATAAGTTTATATTGGTTAAAATTGTTCTTCATTTTAATTATTGTGTTGTTTTAAGTGTTTTTTGCACTACAAATAAGACATGTGCAGTGCGCATAGGAATTCATTCATGTGTTTTTCAAATTATAATCCGGCCTTCCAACAGTTTGAGGGACTGTGGCCTGGCCCTCGGTATAAAAAGTTTGTGGACCCCTGATCTAAAAGATGGCTGGTTATTTCTGCGTCATTTGAACTTTACAAGTCCATTTCTCTGACAACTTATGGTGCTTATTCTGATCTCTTTCTCTGTCTGCATGTTTTGTAGATTGAAGTTGACATTCCTCGCTGCCATCAGTATGATGAGTTGCTGTCATCTCCTGAAGGTCATGCAAAATTTAGACGGGTGTTGAAAGCATGGGTTGTTTCCCATCCTGATCTTGTGTATTGGCAAGGTTAGTTGTGCTGCTTAGTATGCCAAGCAATTATTATTACAATACTGCCCATGCATTCGTCGGGGATACATTTCAAGACTCCAGCGAACATCAGAAACTGTGGATCGTAGTGAATCCTATCATTTGACTGTCTTTGGGTTGGAAGCATACCATAGAATTACAATAGCGAGCCTAGAGCAGTGGTTGTCAACCTGTGGGTCCCCAGGTGTTTTGGCCTACAACTCCCAGAAATTCCAGCCAGTTTACCAGCTGTTAGGATTTCTAGGAGTTGAAGGCCAAAACATCTGGGGACCCACAGGTTGAGAATCACTGGCTTAGAGAATCCCATAAATATTTTGGAGTGGAGATATTTTTGTAGCATGTGTAAGTCAAACTATGAGTCTCAATGGGCATAAGTAAAGATAAAGATAAAGGTTTCCCCTGACATTAAATCTAGTCATGTCTGATTCTGGGGGGGGGAGGGGGGGTTGCTCATCTCCATTTCTAAGCCAAAGAGCCAGTGTTGTCCTTAGACACCTCCAAGATCATGTGGCTAACATGACTGCATGGAGCACCGTTACCTTTCCTCAGAAGCAGTACCTATTGATCTACTCATATTTGCATGTTTACAAACTGTTAGGTTGGCAGAAGCTGGGGCTGACAGCAGCAGCTCACCCCACTCCATGGATTCAAAACACCAACCTTTCAGTCAGCAAGTTCAGCTGCTCAGCAGTTTAACCTGCTGCACCACCAGGGGATCCCTTGTCAATGGGCATCTTATATTTTAATTCTAATAGTTCTGAATTCATTAATAATACTTCTGAATTCATTGTGCTAGCTTCCTTAAAATTTGCTGGAAGATTACTCCTCTATTTGTTCCCTATTGTATTTTGAGAAACTAATTAGGTTAGGTGTGCAGAATTAATACCGGCAGCTAAATAAAATTACGATTAATATATTAATATTATGCAATTCTATTAAGAAATGTGGCCCACTGGACTGAGTGTGTTTTACTCCTTAGAACCTTCAATATAATTTGCCATTTAAATTATAATTTTAAGATTTTAATATGCCTATAGTTTTTTTTTTATCTCAGGACTGAATTATGTATTAGAATCCCTCCCTCCCTAGTGAAATCAGGTCAGCCCCCTCCCTCCTGATTTTCAGAAAGCATGTAAAAACATGGCTTTGGGACCAAGCCTTTGGCCAATAGGGCAGTGCAATTAGTGGTGATGGAAAACGTGCAATAACAGCTTTTTGACTATGATCTGAAACTGTGTGGTTTTAATAGTGTTTTAATTTTTATATGATTTTAAATTCATGTTTAATGTATATGTTTATTTTATATCTGTTGTGTATATGAAATCAAATTGTTGCCTTTGTGGAGTTGCTCTGAGTCCCCATCAGGGTTGAGAAGGACAGGGTATAAATACTGTAAATAAATAAATAAATCCTGAAATAAAAAAAAATATCTGTATGATAAATGTGAAGATTGAGCGCCCAGTGGCTCAGCGGGTTAAACCACTGAGCTGTTGAACTTGCTGACTGGAAAGTTGGTGGTTCAAATATGGGGAGCGGGGTGAGCTCCCGCTGTCTGCCAACCTAGCAGTTTGAAAACATGCAAATGTGAGTAGATCAATAGGTACCGCTCCGGCAGGAAGGTAACAGCGCTTCATATGTGAAGAACATCTGTTTGTGTGTTACAAGGAGGAAGTAATACATCAAATTATCAATGTGTCTTTCGAATATTTTGTGATTTTAATACCTGATTAATGTTGTTAATTTTTTTCTATAGGTCTCGACTCTCTTTGTGCCCCGTTCTTATATTTAAATTTCAACAATGAAGGTAAACTTTTCCCTTAGATGAGAAGTAATCAAACAGGGCCCTCCAGGTGTTTTTGGATTACATTTTCCAGCATCTCTTATCACTTAGGCTAACAGGGGAAACATCTGAAAAGTCATGGTTATCTGCCCTGGCTTAAATCATTTTACTTGCAGTAAATTTTGTGCTAATCTTGGTAAATTATGCTTCTTGTATCCATTTTATATAAAGCATTTGTTTCAAAACATGGTGGGGTGGACGGGGGAGAGTGCAATAGAAAGAGAAGATTGCTGTGATAGAGCATCAGTTTGACATACCCTGATTTGCTGATATTTTGTCTGTAAAAAATGGGGTTTTGAATTATTTTACTTATTCTTATCTTATAAAAACAAAATATGCATCTGATGGAACTCTTTATACAAGAGTTTTTGGAAAGGCATGGCCTTTTAGGCCATAACCTTTTGGGAAACCAGAAATCTCCATATCTTTTTGGAAGCATAAACCTTTTGGAGATTAATTGGCATTCACACTATTTGGAATAATCATAACACTTCTGTAAAGTGTGATCTTCCTGAGAAGAGTTAAATACTCCTTTGAGTGAACCTTCTCTTTAGTGGTAAATATCCACTAATATTCATGCAGGGCAAATTAGGCTTCTCAGTTGTTAGACTGATGTACCTGGTTATCTCTCTGAACTGTTAGGAACAAAGCCAGTGCACAAAATATATAGCAGATCATCAGAAGTGTTATTTCAGTTGCTCAAAAAACATCTACTCCCATAAAATATATTGCTTTTAAATCATACCCTCAAGAGACCAGAAATAGGTGTTCTTCATTAAAAGTAACATAGTTGATTTACTTACAAACGTCATACATTCAGCACATAGGTATATCTCTTATTGTTTGAGATTTTAAATAGTAAGCTTTCTAAAGCAGTGATTCTCAACCTGGAGTCCCCAGATGTTTTTGGCCTACAACTCCCAGAAATCCCAGCCAGTTTACCAGCTGTTAGGATTTCTGCAAGTTGAAGGCCAAAAACATTTGGGGACCCACAGGTTGAAGACCACTCTTCTGTTTCAGTCTCTTCTTTGTTGCATACAGATTAACACTCTCCTCAGTCTAATACATTTCTGAACATTGACTCAGTAAATACTGACTACACACTGCAGCAAGCTGACAGTGACTTTACTTCTGAGTTGTACTGCTTCTGATGCAAACTCAGCTTCTAAAACGGAGTCTCAGTCTGAATAGTCCCAGATCTGGTATCATGGTCTGTAGTCCCCCCTCACAACCTTAAACAACATAGAGTTAAGGGAAAACTACCTATCAAAATATACATCTATATAAATAAAATGTAACGTTCGTTTGTGGGATTAACATAACTCAAAAACCAATTTTGGACACAATACACCTATCAGGTCAACAAGTGACCATCACTCATTAAAACACTGAAAAACACAGCAGAAGGGACTTAAAAAGCCAGAAATGCAAAAAGACGCATGCACACTACAGCGCATGTGCAAAAACTACTCCCACTGGCAAACAAAATACCCAATAGCATATCCACATTATCTTCCAGACTACAGCTCCCAGCATCCCCTATATCAGGCCCTTTAGGAGAGGAGGATGATCCATATGCACTGCTTCCAAGCTGCAAGCTTTCTTCTGCTTGGATTTCTTTGAGGGCATCCAAATCCCTGCATATTTCCAATTTCCTATTCCTGGACTGCAACTCCCAGCAAGATAAGATAGATAAATTAGATAGAGCTGTAGAGGTAAGTAAGTAAATCGATTAGGAGGACTGCTGGGAGTTGCAGTCCAAGAATAGMTAGAGTAGGAGGAAGGGAAAGAAAAAGGGGGGAAGGAAGGGAAGAGGAAGAGAAGGAAGGAAGGAGAGAATGAGAGACTAAAAGGGAGGGAAGGACAGAAAGAAAGAAAGAAAGAAAGAAAGAAAGAAAGAAAGAAAGAAAGAAAGAAAGAAAGAAAGAGGGAGGGAGGCAGGGAGGGAAGGTTGGCCACAGCAACCTGTGGTGGGTACAGCTAGTACAATATAATAAGCAATCTGAATTATATACATAAGAAATAACTAGTTTAGGAGGCTTGTAGAAGTTTGTTATTTCCAACAGTGTTTCCGTTTTGTTGTATTGTAAATGTGTTTAACTTGTTTCTGGGTTGCTGTGAGTTTTCCAAGCTGTATGGCCATGTTCCAGAAGCATTCTCTCCTGATGTTTCGCCTACATCTATGGCAGGATACCTGCCATAGATATGGGCGAAACATCAGGAGAGAATGCTTTTGGAACATGGCCATACAGACTGGAAAACACACAGCAACTCAGTGCTTCTGGCCATGAAAGCCTTTGACAACACAATGTTTAACTTGTGTTTTTAAAATGCAACTCTAGTTTAATGGAGTTTTGACTTTTATATTAATCATTTTTTTAAAAAAATGCATTTTAAATTGATGTAAGCTATCTTTAATGCAATTCTGGGAGAAGGCAGTTCAACAGATAGGTAGATAGTTTGATAGATGTTGCATTCATTACTCTCTTTGTCCTTCTCTTTTAGCTCTGGCCTATGCCTGTATGTCTGCTTTTATTCCTAAATACCTGTATAATTTCTTTCTAAAAGACAATTCACATGTGATTCAAGGTAGGTTTTCTGTTTTAATCACACAAAAATTAATAAACACAAAGGACTTTATATTGGTATTTACCTTAATATGTATATAACTTTAAATTTATAATCTGTTTTTCAATCTAATGGGAATTATCGTAACCATAATAACAAATACCATAAAACATGTCATAATTACACTGGGTATTTTTCAAGACCTTGAAATAAATGTTTTTGTTTTTTGTGTGTGTGTGTCAGGAATGACTTGAGAAACTGCAAGTCACTACTGGTGTGAGAGAATTGGCTGTCTGCAAGGACGTTGCCCGGGGGACGCCCGAATGTTTTACCATCCTTTGGAAGGCTTCTCTCATGTCCCCACATGAGAAGCTGGAGCTGACAGATGGGAGCTCACAATGCTCCCCGGATTCAAACCACTGACCTTGCGGTCATCAGTCCTCTGGCACAAGGGTTTAACCCATTGCGCCACTGGGAGCTCCTTGTAATGTAACTTATAATTGTAACCATACTCTCCAGATTCAAACCGCTGACCTGTCAGTCAGCAGTCCAGGATTTAACCCAGTGTTTCTCAGCCTTCCTAATGCCGTGACCCCTTAATACAGTTCCTCATGTTGTGGTGACCCACAACCATAAAATTATTTTTGTTGCTACTTCATAACTGTAATTTTGCTCCTGTTACGAATCATCATGTAAATAACTTCTATACAGGATGTATTTTCATTCACTGGGCACAAATACTCGATACGCCCAAATTTGAATACTGGTGGGGTTCGAGAGGAGGATTGATTTTGTGATTTGGGAGTTGTAGTTGCTAGGATTTATAGTTCACCTACAGTCAAAGAGCATTCTGAACTTCACCAGTGATGGAATTGAACCAATCTTGTCACACAGAACTCCCATGACCAACAGAAAATACTAAAAGGTTTTGGTGGACATTGAGTTTTGGAGTTGTAGTTCACCGACATTCAGAGAGCACTGTGGACTCAAACAATGATGAATCTGTACCAAACTTGGCACAAATGCTGAATATGCCCAAATGTGAAAATTGGTGGATTTGGGGGAAAATAGACCTTTACATTTGGAAGTTGTAGTTGCTGGGATTTATAGTTCACCTACAATCAAAGAGCATTTCAAACCCCACCAACGATAGAATTGGGCTAAACTTCCCACACAGAACCCCCAAGGCCAACAGAAAATACTGTGTTTTCTGATGGTCTTTGCTGATTCCTCTAACACTCCCTCACGACCCCTCCAGGTTGAGAAACACTGTTTTAAAGGTTCAAATCTAACAGGAGATGAAGCCAAGATTAGGTGTAAGGAATATCTGTAGCACTCCTTATTAGGCCATAGAGTAGAAACCACTAAATTTGGAGTCGCCATTGCTTCCAAAACTTCATTCCAAACAGTCACAGTGTAGGCTTTCAAAGTCCACTTTTTGTATGTGAAAATGCAAGACCAATGAAAGATTTATACCTACAGGATACCAGATTAAACGGAGGAATAATTTGTATCACCTGAGACAGTGCTGTTTGTCTCTGATCCGCCGGATAGGCTTTTCATGAGAGGATATGTGCTTTTAGTAGACACTTAATTAACCATGTAATCCCACATAGCAATTATATTTTATGAGCCTAGTTATCCAAATAAAGATGACATTTTAACAAGGTGTAGCATATCCATGTAGAACCACTGTGAGCACGAATTTCTTACCTAAAAAGAAATGTGCTTTCAAGACGCTAATTGTAAATTTGTTTTCATCAGCACATCACTGAGTTTATGTGATTAGTGGATTTAAATACTTTACCTGTGGATGGTGAATGTATTAGGAACGTAAATATGTTAATGCAGGTGAAGAGAGCTAAATAAAGTATGGATCCTTTCCATAGCTTTAGAGAAGCATGTGGCTTTTCATAATAGAATAAAAGTTCTAGTTGAAGCAAAATTATAAGTAAGAGAAGGGACTCTATGGCCATGTTTCAGAAGCATTCTCTCTTGACATTTCGCCCACATCCGTGGCAGGCATCCTCAGAAGTTGAGAGGTCTGTTGGAAACTAGGCAAGTGAGGTTTATATATCTGTGAAATGTCGAGGGTGGGAGAAAGAACTCTTGTCTGCTTGAGGCAAGTGTGAATGTTGCAATTGGCCACTGTGATTAGCATTTAATGGCCTTGGAGCTTCAAAGACTAGTTGATTGCTGCCGGAGGGATCCTTTGTTGGGAGGTGTTAGCTGGAATTCTTACCTAATATTCCTTCTACTTTGCTCTCTTTACCGTTTATGTTGTATTGTCTTGTATTACTTTGACCATACACACCTTTTCCCAAAGCTGGAGTTCAAGGTGTTTTAGAAGATGATGATAATAATAATAATAATAATAATAATAATAATAATAATAATAATAATAATTTATTTATACCTCGCTTTATCTCCCCAAAGGGGAAAAGAAAGGAAACCAAAAAGACAATTAGGTAAAAACACAAAAGGTATCTTTAAAATAACATTAAACTGTCTATTGAATGCAAAACCGCTTAAATATCCAATTAAAATCTTATATGCTGAATTCTGGCTCAAAAGCTGTTTCTGTTAAGAAACGAAACAAAAAGAAAAGGTCAAACTATATGTTACATTAAAAACAGAGTGTGCAGTTGCTGATGTACTTTGTTATTTCCTATATCACATTCATATTCAACCGTGATCTGGATGAAGAACATTGTGCAGGATTTCATATTTTAAGCTTCTAAATGAGGGGACCCTAAGCTCTCCATTTGCAAGGGTTGTAATATTGGAAGAGGAGCTGATGGTGGGAGCAAATTTCAACTTGTTTTTCTCAAATGTGATCATCCACAGTCTTGATGCATCAGATGAAGTAGACTAAGGTCTATAAAAGTATTTCAAACATGATTTGATACCCTGATCTGGAAGTGATTGTGTTTCTGGACTCTTTCAGGGTGCCTTTTGTGCCGGACTCTGTCACGCATTGCCTTTGGCTAACGTTTCATTGATAGTATTTTTTTTTTCATATCAGGAGCGACTTGAGAAATTGCAACTCACTTCTGGTGTGAGAGAATTTGCCGTCTACAAGGATGTTGCCCAGGGGACACCTGGATGTTTTACTATCCTGTGGGAGGCTTCTCTCATGTCCCTGCATGAGAATCAGAAGCTGACAGATGGGAGCTCACCCCGCTCCCTGGATTCGAACCACTGACCTTTCGGTCAACAATTCAGCCGGCACAAGCATTTAAACCATTGTGCCACCCAGGGCTCCCTATTGATAGTAAATGAAAGCAGCAGGTGGCACATGGTACAGTGCTGAAAGTGAATTGTTCTTTAGCAACTGGAAAAATTATTTTTAAAGGCATATAAAAGTATTCAACTCTGCCTTGCACCTATAGAGGACAAATATGCAAATATGTATCCCCTGTGATATTTTCACTCTATCTTGCCTCTACCAGGAGAAAGATAGGATGAAAATAAACTTAATAGATAAAATAAAATATTTGCTTGGGAAGAGGGGTGTATAGCTACAGAAAGAGGTTGTAGCTAGAAAAAAAGCTCATTGTCACTAATATAAATTCCGTCAACCCTGTGAAATGTTCCTTCATTACTCAAATTTATGACATTGAAGCAACATAAACTTCAATTCACCATTTAGATGATGATGATGATGATAATAATAATAATAATAATAATAATAATAATAATACTAAAGTGATCTTTATTTTTAAGCTGCCCCATCTCCCCAAGAGACTCGGAGTAGCTCACAACATAAATAAATACAGGAAAATTCATTTTAAAAATAAAATAACAAATAATAACACATCAAGTCAATAGAAAAACAAACAAGATAGCCAAAACACAAGTAACCAACAATAACAATGAAAATTATAAAGCATCAGTTAAGCTATATAGGCATCCATTATCCACACAGGTAAGGAAGACAGATAAAGGTAGCAAAAAAATTATAAAGCTGCGAATATAAGAATTTTGTATGTAAACACTTCAATGTTTCACTCACTGTAATGTTAGAAATCTGGGGACCAAAGGAAAAAATCATTTGAGAGAACATAATTCTTATGGGAGGCATTGTGTTCTTTTTGTTTCCTTTGTAGTTATACCCCAAGGTTAAAAAAACAAAAGAATCATAATTCTTGTACAGCTGTGGATCTGTTGTAATGAGTATTTTAGGTTATTTCATCATAGTTGTCATCATCATCATTTGATACATAACAAGATTAGTACACAGCAAACAAGATTACTATGCTGGCTTTTGTATTTGATTATATGTTGGACACTTCTCAAGTGTCTAGGACTGTGTGATGTATTGGTGAATAATGTGTGCAGATTCAACTAGGGTGGCCTTTTTCAGCTGATAGATAGTAATTTTGTCAGCACCGATTGTGTTTAAGTGCAGGCCAAGGTCTTTAGGCACTCCACCCAGTGTGCCAATCACCACTGGGACCACCCTTACTAGCTTGTGCCAGAGTCTTTGAAGTTCCATCTTTAAATTCTCATATCGTGTCAGCTTTTCCAGTTGCTTCTTGTCAATCCTGCGTTATTATTATTATCATTGTCATTATCATTATTATTACCATGATTACTACTACTAAGTATTATTTTGTAATGGCACTGTCAGGAAACATACCTTTGTTTCTTCTTCCTTGGACCAAATTCCTAAAGAAAGATGTTCTGAAATGCTACTTCCTTTTTCTCATTCTTCAGAATACCTGACAGTGTTCTCTCAGATGATTGCATTCCATGACCCTGAGCTGAGTAACCATCTCAACGAAATTGGCTTCATTCCAGATGTAAGTGAAAATGCTTCTAATACATTTTTAATGGATAGTAAAAGAAAGTAGGATCAGTGGAAAGCGTTTTTTCACAATCTAAAGTAAACGTGATATAATTCAAAAACCGATCTATTGAAAGCTTTGCCACTTAATATGATATTGATTTCAAATAGTTTCAAGGATTCTGTGTCATGGATTTATCCATGACTGGCTTGAAAACATTTTTTAATTTTTTTTTGAAAGGCAAACCTTAAACTTGCCATTTCCCACAAGGCACACAATTTTACTTGCCATTGTATATAATGTGGCTTGAGCATCCATGGATTTTGATACCAATGATGACTTCTGGAACCAAACCCCAGTATATACCAAGCCAATTGTACATATGGCAAACTCTCTTGGGTATGCCTGTATGTGGTTGCTACTTTTATCTGTCATATAGCATAATCCCATACATGTATATGTAGAAAGAAGTCTCATTGGGTTTCCTGAAACTTACATCTTAGTAAATAGCCATACAGTTGTGGTCATTACAAACATGCCTCAATCCTGGTGAATCAATGAAATCATGTGTTGACTCATCACTCAATAATTGAGTCAATGGGTCTGTTCCAATTGGGACTAGTAAATAGAATTCTAATCAATACGACTACTGTAAACACATGCTTCCCGCTTCTTTGGATGACTTGCTGCTTGACAACTCACTCATTCAATAGTTGCAAATTACAGATAGTCCCATTAATTTGATGAGGGATCCACTCTTTTGTTAGTTCTTCTTTCCTATGAAGCTTACACACATGCTACAGTATACTGTAATGTGTTATTTGTGATTTTCAGAAGCCAAAATGCATTTGCAAGTCAAAACAAAGTGAATGAATAAATGAAGCTTTATTTATGTCCCACCCCATCTCCCAAAGGGACTCGGAGCAGCTTACCACAAAACAATAACATAAATAATAAAAAAACACATAACAAGTCAAACAATTTAAATCACCAAAAATAAAATGAGTAATAATAAATAAGATGGAATATAACTCAAGAATGTCACAATCAATACAAAATTATGTGCAAGTTAAGCACATAAAAGATAAAACATTAAAGGAGTAAACATTATGTGACCTGCTCTTGCTAGTTTGAGCACTCAGGTCAATTAAAATTCCATTTACACTCCCAATGGTTAAAATTATGGTTAGTCATTTCCAAAAGCCTCTCTCCACAGCCATGTTTTCAGTTCCTTCCTGAAAATTGTCAAAGTGGGAGCCTGTCTGGTTTCCTTGGGGAGGGCATTCCATCGAGAAGACCCTTTCCCTCGTCCCTGCCAGCGGCACTTGTGATGGGGGCAGGACTGTGAGAAGAACTCCCCGGCTGATCTTAAAGCCCAAGCAGGTTCATAGCAGGAGACACGGTCACGCAAATAGATTGGACCTGAACCGTGTAGTGCTTTATAGATAATCACTTGCACTTTGACTTGGGCCCGGAAACATATAAGTAGCCTGTTTTCTTAGGGGGATGATGTGCTCCCTGTATTTAGCTCCCATTAGCAGCCTAGCTGCAGATCTTTGTACTAATTGGAGTTTCCAAGCCATCTTCAGAGGCAGCCCCATGTAAAGTGGGTCCCGCTGTTCACCTAATTCTACTTTCTGATAGTGCTGAAATCCCTAATCCATCAAATAAGCAAAGTGTTTCTATATTTCTTTCTCTATAAGAAAGTATTTAACTGTCATTCTATTCCCCAAAGGATCCTGATACCTGTTCCTTGATGGCATAAATAGTTATCCTTCCCACAGACATCTGTGCCTCTTGAGCCCAGAAAACTATTCTGTTTTCTGTGAGCAGAAGCTAAACATGTCCAGTGGAGATGATTTGGCCCTCCTTCCATCTAGAATTGCTTTTAGATACATTGAAATTAGTATTAATTCTTCTTTTTTAGAAACTTACTCAGACACATAGTCTTTGCTTTCAGGGGCTTTGAAAGTTGTCAAAGAGGTGATGAGCAAGTATATAACTGCATGAAATCCAAGTTATATCCAGAGTTGTATTGTCCATGCAAATAGATTTGCAGCTCGATTAGAAATCTAAACAGGAGTTCTACTTTTCTCTTGGAAAAGTAAAATCTGCATTATATTTCGGTACCTGTGACTGTGGGATCCATCAAGGTGAAAGACACACACTTCAGCAATGATACGAACCAGGTTTTCATGCTTGAGTTCTAATCCTATCAAATTGGATGCTGATTAATCTTTCAGGTTCCTGCTGTGAAAGAGATTATTTCTTGGCACTTTTCCATAACTCTTACAGTACAAACCTCTTAGAATATTGAATATTACCGAACAGTGAGCGTTGTCAGTTGTCTTAATACCTGCACTGAGTATTATGCAGCGCAGGTTGGTAGGGAAATATGGAATTTCTAGAAATCCTCTTAGAATTTATTTAAAAAAATGTATAAGGTAATATGAAACAGTGTCCTTCTCCAATGTAGTAAATGTTACCAGTGAGTCAACACACACACACACCTCTCCTGCACAAATAAAATATTTCCTGTCATGTTGAAGGGCCATCTAACAAACTTGCAGAAAGAAAAGGAAAGGGAAATTTCTATTGTAATAGGCATACATTTGCAATTCTAAAATTTAAGCTATTGTGCTTTACAAAACTATACTACATGTGTCAGCATTACAACATGAGAATAAATCACTACTAAGCAAAATGACCCTTTTCACCCAGAAAAGGAAGCTGTATCTGTAATAATTCCTGGTTTCGTTCACCTGCATTTTATGAAACAAGTCACAGTTTTCTCCCTTCATATTAATTACACAAACCAACAAAATCAAACTTTTTGTAATCATCAGAAATGAAAGTAGAACAATTTAAATCAATTTTATAATATAATAATAGTAATAATAATAACTTTATTTTTATACCCTGTCTCCATCTCCCCGGGGGGACTCGGGGTGGCTTACAAGGGACAAGCCCGAAAATACAAATTACAACACACACAAAATACTATAAAAACAAATCAATAGCAAGTATCAGAAAAACTACACATTTTAAAAGCAGTATCATGGCTGAGAGATTCAGTGCTGAGTGCGAAGGATCAGAGAACATGCAATTGGTCCAAGAAAGAGCAAAGGGGAAATGCAAGATTCGCTTCAATTTCCATTAAGGTTACATCTGGGAGGATAACGTCCATTAGGCATTTACAGTAACAGGATTACAGGTGATTTTAAATATGTCTTTATTTTTTTTCCATCACGTCAGCTTTTTAAAATATGTCGAATGGTACATCCTGTAAAGCCTGCACATTTCACATCATATTCGTGCAATACAAGCCAACAAGTATTTTTCAACAGATATAACTTTAGATCATTCTTATAGCATTTTCTGTGCTGAATTTAGATCTGTGTTTATTTTATTCTATCATGTATAGTTTATATGATGAGACTAATTGAATAATTAATGCATCCATGTACTGATATCAATAGAATCTAATTAACCACAAGCCAACAAGTATTTTTCCTCAGATATGATTTCATATAATTCTTATAAAGTTTTTTTGCACTGAATTGAGATCTGTGTTTATTTTTTTCTTTATCACATAGTTTTTGCAATGAGGTTAATTGCATAATTAATGCATTTATGCATGGATATCCATTACATTTCATTGGTATCAGTGTGTAAATACATTAATTATTCGATTGGCCTCATCATAAAACTACACGTGATAGAGAAAAATAAACACAGATCTGAATTCAGCACAAAAAACTCCATAAGAGTGACCTAAAATTATATTTGATGAAAAATACTTGTTGGCTTGTGTTATAGTTTTTTTTTCTATTTAACTATTGCAGTCTTACCATAAACCCATTTTTATTTGTGACAAGAAACTTTGGACCTATCTTAATGATAGACATTTAATAAATAAATGTTTTTATTGGTTTTGTGTAAAACTGCCACAACTAATTGACACTGAAGAGGACACTTCCATCAAAACTTTCATTCTTAACTGATTTTGTGTGTGTGTGTGGTAGACTAATTGCTTTTTAACTGCCGTATTTTGAGAAAAAAACTCATTGTAAGCAGCCTTGAGCCCAAGTCTGGGATATACTTGTATAACAGATGATGATCATGATGATGATGATGATGATTATTATTATTATTGCTGGTCAGCCATGCTATTAGGTAGATATAGAAACCAACTTGTATGTGACATGAACTTTAGTTGCTTTTCATTAGCTCACAAATACTTCATGAACTATATGAAGAAATAAATCATGAAGACAAAAAAGATGATAGTTAAGAGGATGACCATCATAAGGTGGAACATCTGGAGAAATATAGTTTAGCATAACTCTTTGTATTTGGAACATTGTTCCAGAAAAGCAGCAATATGCAGGTTTGAAAGCAAACACAGATCATCGTTCATGTTCCACCATAAAAACAAAACTATGAGGAAATACTGCAGCAAGAATATAAATTATTGCTTGGTTATACTCAAGCTCGACAGGTGGGGGCAATGTGTACTAAGAATAAATTTGAAACGCATTGATGCAGCTCCATGTTGCGGCTCCCCCTCAGTGCAGATCAGAGAAGCAGTTATTTGCCAGTATTGTTGGCGTTTTCTTTTTTGATCTAATTGCATCTGTTTTTTTCTCCTTCAGATGGAATAAGATGCAGAAATGATTATAGTCCAGGTTGTTTTGATAACTTTATTGTTTACATTTTCCTTTCCTGGTAAAGCCAGGTTGCCCTTAATGATGCTGCTGATCTTCATTTACCACTTTTTAAGTGTATTTACTATTTTTCATTAAGATGTAGTGTGCCCTTCTTATTGGCTCTGTAACTAGATTGGATGCGCTGTCTCCATGGTGACTTATTTATTTCCACAAGTACAATTTCAACTTGCGCAGTAGAAATTGATGGCTACAATTTAGTGAAGCCAGATACTTGCAAAATGTTGTTTTTGTCAGAGCAGATCTATAAAAGGCATAAACTATCATTGAGATAGAACTGTAACTTGTCTCTGTGCTAACCAGCAGCATTATACCTATCTCTCATACCTGAACATACCTTTCCTTGGTTTGCTGATTTTAGTGTCTTTACCAGCATCTTATATGACTGGATACACAGTATAACATTTTAAAGTGTAATTCTTATTAATTAGAGCTGATCAGGGTTGTGTGAGTCTGTGTGTTTCCAAGTCTCTTGAACTGACATAGTTCTTTATGCAAATAAAACCTTTTTGTGTAAAATCTGGCTCTTCTTGATGGATGGATTTGTCATAGATTGTCTCCTGCATATGTATAGAGAGGTAGGAAACCCCAAAAAACATCAGAGACATTTGTTTCAGGTATTTTTAAAAATCTTTTTCTTTTTTTCTTTTTTTCTTTCTTTTTTTGGTATCAGTGAATCAAATGTTTGAGACATGGTGTTCTCATATTTATTCCCACAAATCTGTTTCTAAATACTATGTAATGGAGATGAGTAGAACCACTGGATCAGTTGTATTGGCTTACATATTGATTCACCATTCCCTAGATTTATTGTAGTTGGGACTAGCCAGTGTAAGTCATCACAGTTTGAATACATTAAATTTTATTGGTACCGTGAGTAGGGGCAAGTATTTTCCTTTCCATTTATCATTTTTTTCCTGTCATTTGTTCCTTTTATAAGTTAAAACCAAGCTCAGAAATGGGAGAGTCTGGGGAGAACGTTGCATTTTTACTTTCTAGAGAAGAATAATAACACTTTGATTGTATTGCACCCACTTGGAGTGGATTCCAGCATATATACAGACAGGCAAACATTCAATGACTTTGAAACATACGATGAAACACAAATACACAGACAGAGGCAAAGGCTTCCCCTTTCATCTCGGCTCTGGAGATGCTTCTAATCTCTGGTTTTGGAGGGAGGTGCTCATCTCTGTTCCCAAGCCAAGGAGCCTGTGTTGTCCATAGACAGCTCCTGGTTACATAGCCAACATGACTTTGTGGGGTGCCCTTTCGCTTTCCCGCCAAGGTGGTACCTATTGATCTACTCACATTTGCATGTTTTCAAACTGCTAGGTTGGCAGGAGCTGGGGCTGACAGTGGGAGCTCATCCTGTCTCCCAGATTCAAACTGCCATCCTTCAAGTTAGCAATCTCAGCAGCTCAACGGTTTAACCCATTGCGCCACCGCAGCCCCTGAAAGGTTAATGTATAGAAGAAATTTTACACATAAAAACCCATGCAAAATGTTTGTAATTGGAGAGAACAAATGATAGGGCATGTATTGAATTCCCAATGTGCTAGGAAGTGCAATCTGATTCAGGTTCTTAGCACCTAAATTGTAGTGCTGATAGAAAATTACAATGACGGAGATTTTTTAACTGCAGTACTAACAGATTTCTCATGTTCATGACAATGAAAGGCTGCAGAATCAAAGCACTATGTGGATGAAAATGCACAAGGATCTGTTGTAACAATAATTTTCTTTTTCCCCTGTCCCTATGTTATGTTTATAGCTGTATGCTATTCCTTGGTTTCTCACAATGTTTACACGTGAGTATGACATTTTCTCATTTTTCTATACTGCGTGTGCTTCTATTATTGTTCTATCATGTACATTTTTCTATTTGACCTAGTCTTTAGGTCTGTCTATGATTTCATGCATATAATGTAGGAGGGTAAGGGACTGTGAGGGGGCTAAAGATGGTACTTCCTCAAGGCTACTAACTTCAAGACTGGACTTCTGTAATGTGCTGTACATGGTATTTCCTCTGTACCAAGTTCACAATCTTCAGTTAATTCAAGACATGGCAGCCAGACTATTGGTACATCTAATAGTAACATTAAGGTAAAGGTTTTCCCTTGACATTAAATCTACTTCTGTTTGACTGGGGGGGAGGGGGTGCTCATCTCCATTTCTAAGCCAAAGATCTGGCATTGTCTGTAAATGCCTCCAAGGTCATGTGGCCAGCATGACTGCATGGAGCGCTGTTACCTTCCCACCAGAGTGGTACCAATTGATCTACTCACATTTTCATGTTTTCGAACCGCTAGGTTTGCAGAAGCTGCGGCTAACAGCGGGAGCTCACCCCCGCTCCCTAGATTCGAATCGCTGACCTTTTGGTCAGCAAGTTCAGCAGCTCAGCAGCTTAACCCACTGCACCACAAAAATTATTCCACTGGTTGCCAGCAGTTTTGGGAAAGTATAAAGTATTGGTTGTTATCTTTAAAATCTTGGATGATTTGGGTCCAGATTACCTACAGGATTCCCTTCTCTTATATAATTTACCCTGTACACTCATATGTCCTCTGTGAGACCTGCTTCACTCAGCCCAAATTAGGCTGATTGTTACCCTGGGGACAGTCCCCTTCAGACTATGGAATGACCTGCTAGAAGATATTAATAATCTTGAGATGTTGTCTGTATTTAAATCAGCAATAAAGATCAGTCTCTTCTAGCAAGCCCATCCAGATAATTTTGTAATTTTCAAAATATTCATTGATGGATTTTAGTAGCATTTTAAGGTACGTTATGTGCTGTGTTTGTTGTTGTTCCCCACCTGAACTAATGAAGAAATGAGTTACAAATAAAGGTGGTGGTGGTGGTTGTGATCAAATATCAAGTTGTCCTTTCCTAACCTTGTGTCTAACATCAATTTGGTCAATATTCTCATAATCTCTTAGAGACAGCAAAAGTGAAAGATAACTGTAATTCAACACATGTGGAAAGCACTTGATTGGAGAACATTGAAGCACAATATGGTAATCTGGTTCAACCTTCTAGCTCAGATAATGGGAATCTAAAAGCTTGTCATCATCTGAGCTAGGACACAATGATTTAAGAGACCAAATATTAAAATACATAGGTTGTTTTTTTATAATGTAGATGGCTTGTTGATTTCCTCGTGAGATGCCCATTCTCCTGCTTTATCAGTTCTGCTCTGATTTTGACCTGTGCAGCTTAGAGTCCACATCACAAATGTTGTTGCTTATTCAGTGATTTTCCTTTGAACTTCAGACCAATAGTCCTTTAATCATGACAGTTGTCTCATGAAAGTTCACATGGATTTGTTTCGTTCAAAAAATATAAACCTGATTTTGCAGCAAAAAAAAGTGTCTCTGCTAAATTGAAAAACTGAGCTTCATTACACTGTTTGCTACAGACAGGCTGCTCAATCTGACACTGAAAATATGTGTTCCTCCCACTATCTTTCACTATGCTCCTAATGTTGATTTTGCTCAAAATGTTCCAGCTAGATAGCAGCTTGTAAAGAGGACTTTCTTTTGTCAGAGGCTTTGTTAACAAAGGTATGCCTGTAATCTAACCCTTTTGAAGATAGTTCATACTTGATACAAAGAAGCTACCAAGATTTTGACTGACATGGTCTATACAAATTGTAATTCACCACTGCTGGCAAAGGTTTGCTCACTAACAATAACAGAAGAGACTTTTGGGTTGTAGTACACCTTGTTTGGAACTTAGTTTGTTTTGTATGGTTTCCTCTGTTGCACACACTACCCTTTGCTCTACAGCAGGGGTCCTCAAACTTTTTAAACAGAGAGCCAGGTCATGGTGCCTCAAACTGTTGGAGAGCCGGATTATAATTTGAATAAAACATGAATGAATTCCTATGCACACTGCACATATCTTATTTGTAGTGCAAAAAGAAACCCCACTTAAAAACAATACAATAATTAAAATGAAGAACAATATTAACAATATAAACTTATTAGTATTTCAATGGGAAGTGCAGACCTGCTTTTGGTTGATGAGATAGGATTATTATTGTTGTTGTTGTTGTTGTGCTTTCAAGTTGTTTCAGACTTAGGTTGACACTGAGCAAGGGTCGGGTAAATGACCTTGGAGGGCCATATCCGGCCCCCGGGCCTTAGCTTGAGGACCCCTGTTCTGCAGCAACAGATCCAGTTGAATAGAACCCTTTCTAAGTATGTGATCAACAGGCTTTCTTGATTATGCTACTAACAGTAAGGATTTTACTCTTTCCAGATCATTAAAATGATATTACTGTTCTAATTTATTTCTTTCCCATCTTGCAGATGTCTTTCCTTTGCACAAAATCTTTCATCTGTGGGATACACTGCTACTTGGGAATTCTTCCTTCCCCTTCTGTATTGGAGTGGCTATTCTTCAGCAGCTGAGAGACCGTCTTCTCTCTAATGGATTCAACGAGTGCATTTTGCTATTTTCTGATTTGCCAGGTATTAAGATCTATCTTTATTTTTCCAATTTCCATGTTGGATGCTATGTTTTCTGAAGTTTATTTTTTGTTTTGTATAAATAAGATGTCAGTAGGGAAATTAAAATAACTGGTACACATAGGCTGTTTTGCTACTCTGAAGAGATATCAAATTAGTTGTAGGAGGCATTTATTTAAACATTGGGAGAAAAAATTAGATAAGTCATACAAGTCTAAGAACATGAGAAAACTAAATCAAATGTGGGCATGCAAAAATATAGGACCACACAACTTGTAATAGAGATTAGAATAACTTTTGCTGACAAGAGTTACACTTGCATATATCCAGCCATCTGGCAAGTACAACGCATCCTAACTTTTCTACAAACATTGACACTGGAATGGGTGAGGTATCTCCCCCGTACATAACTGTATTGCGCTTCTGACATGTTCTAACTACATTGAAATGCAATGTGATGAACTCAACGCCCACTCTTCTTATGAAGCTTGGAGTTGGAGGAATGTGGATGATCACATCAGCTGCACTGTATTATGGAGGTATTCGTAGCATTACAGCAGTGCACCATGACAGCAGCCGTCATTCCACTGCCCTGCCCCAAACTGAACAAGCAGACTAGGATTCATCCGTCTTGGGCATGGCTTTTGAACTATCCTAAGATCCTCTAAAGAGTGCAGTTCAACTAAAGCAATGATTCCCTTGCTTAGCCAGCTTTGAGATTCAGGTTCCCAAGGAGGACTGGGGCTTATTTTTCTCATACTATTTACCCCACACAATTCAGAAGCACACATGGATAGAGAAATTATCCCTCATACCACCCTTCTGAACTCTGGATCTTCCTGAAATAGCTCTTGGTTTGGCCACTATATGTTACTTTTTTGAGCTGCTTTCATGATGTTTTGGATTTTCAATACTAGGTCCAGAACAAGATCTCTAAACTGGAATCTGATCATTTTTTGTTCTGTTTCTCTAGAGTCTAGAGACACATGGTCTAGGGAAGAGTCTAGCAAAAACTCTTTATCAACAACGAAACTCTTAACATGTGTAGATCTCTGTATGCTGTTAAAATTTAGCAGTACATTATTTCTGCACAAAGCTTGCAAAAGCTAATGTTAATCTTTGAGCAATATATAGCCCCAATGCTAGTAATTCTAACTTTTTATAGTGAACATCTGAAGAATATATAGCCTTCCAGATGTTGTCCTGCAACTTTCATCATGCATCACTACTGACTCAATTGGCTTGGCTCATTGGAGTTGTAGCTTAACAACAGGGAGGCCACAAATTGTTTTGTCATAGAGGCTGTTTCCTTGAAGTTGGAGGCTGACTGAAATGAAATGCATATAACTGAGTTGGTACTGTCCATTTATCTTAGTCACTGTCGACACATGTTAAACGTTGCTTGTTGTGTCTCAAGTACCATAATACCTCTTGTTTCATATCTGAAGCTCAGACTGCAGTCAAACAAAAGGAGATAAACCCAGTTGAACACTGTAAGACATGTTTCTCAGAAACCAAACACATGAAAGGCAATATAGACTTGAAGCTATATGAATGTGAGGAAGTTACTACTTCAGAAATATATTCTAGGAAATAGTAATATAAAAATCAGTTATTAATCCTGGCCAATGATCTCTTTCTAGGATTATTTTAGGAATGCTCCTATATGTCTCTGCTAATAGTATGGTGTCATCTACATATCTTAAATTCTCAACATCCGTTCCTCCAATTTTCTCTTCCTACAATTTTACCAGATAGATCATAAAATGCAGCTCTGACCAATCCCTTGCTAATTGAAACTATTAAATGTCTTTGTATTTTGTTCCATGAGTAGCCTCTTGTCCTGAGTACAGGTTATGCATTAGGACACACAAGTCATGTGACACCCAAATATTTTGAAAACCAATCCATATCTTTATGTGATCAATATAATCAAAGAAGCTCCACTATCAGTATAAGTTTGCAAAAATATTCCTAGTCCTTCTTCCTTTCCTGAGCTCAGCTTGGACATCTGGCATTTCTTTAAATTTTGTGGAAGGGGTCTCTTGTTCATCCTTATTTATTTTCTACTTCTGTGCCTCTGCATTGATAATTATATTAGTTCTCTTTATTCCCTGTGCACAAGTCATTCAACAGTTGAATTCAGGGTTCTGACTCTGTTTCTGTCATCTTCTATCCTTCATTGCTTTTATCTGTGATCCATTGAAACTCCTCTTTGTTTTTAGCTGTAAATTGTGTTTCTCCATCTTCTTCATCCAATTATGTGCTCTATTTGATTCTTATATTGGCTGTAAGATGGTGTCCATATATACATTCATGTATTGGCTTGTTCGAACCATGTGGCCTCAAAAGATTCAGTCAGTGAGTCTCCTGATTCATTTACTGATTCTACAATGTGTGATACTGCCCCATTCCTATTTTTGTGTTAGCTTGCTGGTCACCTTATGTGTGAGTCATGGAGACAATGATGAAGAAAGGCAAGTTGTTTACCTGTGACTGTGGTTCATCAGCTGTGATCATCTGTGACCTGCACCAACCTCCCCGCCATATAATCCCACCTTTCTCTAGTTTAGTTTGATTACACATGCAGCGGACTGGAACAGGGGAATAGTCTGGAAGTGGACAGAAATAGGTGGAGTAGGGAGGGAGCAGGGCTTCCCCCAAAAGATCTAGCTGAGTACAGAAGTTTTTGTGCAGCTATGCAGGCTTTTTTTGTTGTTGTTGTTACTCTGAGCAGAACGTTGAAATATTAATGGGTGCAATCTATGTCCCAGTAGCAAACAACATCTGAGGTAGAATCTAGAATCAGTAGTTGCATTAGAAAATATCAACAGATGGCAGCACATCTGAAAACCTTAAAAAAACTTACTTAAAAACCTTACTAAAATGTAGATGCTGAGCTACATGTTAGGCAGATGACATGGGAAGAAGCTCACCCTGTTTGAAACAAAGGCAGTTTCTCCAGAAATTGTTCCTCCAGGCAGGAAAACCTGGCAGAGTGTTGAATGCTTGATTTGCCCCGCTTCATCTCTCTCAGGGAGGTGGATGCTTTGCTCTTTCTATTCCAAGAAAAAGACATAAGAGCTGCCTGTTTATGGAAGGATTTCTTTTTTTGTCCCTGCCTAGTCTCGAGTCACTTATGTTTGATGACTTTGTTGAGGAACCAGAGGCAGATGTGTTTATAAAACAGCTCTCAGAAATTCATCAAAGGTGAATAATGTTATTTGTGAAACAGAAGCTATACATAGCTGCCAATATTTAATAGTTCTCAGCCAAGAATCGGATCAAGAAGCTGGCTTTGGTACAGAAGGAAAGTGATTTCTTAGCATATACCTGCTTACCAATGATGTTTTATAATGTCAAGTCCTGAAGGATTAATGTCATTTTACCTAAAGCTGAGAATCCTTTAATTAACTTGTATTTACTTAATGTTCAGTTATTAATTATTTTTTTAATATGATAAATATGAGAAACCCACAACAGATCTCCTGTATGTTTTTTCCTACTGGTCTTTAACAGTTGTTTATATAGGGTTGTATTTAATGACGTCCGACCACTGATAGACGGTTCTGAGGCTGCTTTGCAACTTCCCCAACAAAATGCTTGGATGACTGTCCCATTGAAACAACATGGGAGATGGCATCAGAGGTTAAACTAGTAGAAATAATCTCTCACCTCTTCTTCACCATCAGCCAAAGCACACTATTATTTACTTACTTACTGAATGAATGAATGTGTACCTCGTCTTTCTCTCAAGATGGGATTCAAGGCAGCTTACAATGATTTTTAAAATATTAATCTAAATCGTTAGTTTACAAATTTTTAAAAATAATTAAATAACAATATGATTTTTTAAAAAACAGATTAATGCACTTAAACGTATTTAAAGCATAATTACTAGCAAAAGATCAAAAAATAGATACAATTGACATATATAGAATAATTTCTAGTCTTGTGCATTTGTATAGAATTGCTATCGGTTTCTGTTTGTTTTATTTGTATGGCCCCATTTCCGTTTTCGAGTGCAGCTTCTGAAAATGGGCACCTTTCTGAATGGGCATTTTCATTCTGCATCCTAAAGGACAAAAAATATTTGGACCATTTGTGGCAATGGGAGGGCTTCCCAAGCTCCCCCTTCCCTTAGTTTTAGGGCTAGCAGGGTGAATATCACCACACATGGAGATGACATGGGAAGGAGCTACCACTTTTGGCCCACCAACTTTTAATATGTTTGGGTCATCCCCCAATTTTTAGGGATTTTTTTTCTTTCTAGAAAGGAAATCTTTAAAAACATTCACTCTTTCCCTCACTGGCTCCACATTCTAACTTCTCCCACAGCAACAGGAGGCAAATGTCAAATATGCTCCACACACACAGCCTGGTGCCCAGCCCCACTATCTCACTTCTCCTTAATAAAAATTTAACAATAGCAAACAACTTCATCAAAAGCTTTTGAACAGCAGCAGAAAACCTTAACAAACATTATCCCCTTGTTTTACAAACACTGGTCCATGGGGGGGGGGGGGGGTTACCTTTTACTTTTATTGTGTGAAATCTAGCTATGACTGGGGGTTGAAAAAAACATGTTTTTGCCAGCATATCATATCATGCCTTAGCGGCTCAGAGCAGGTCGGTCATCAACATCAGCCTCACTGATCAAGGAAGTTGGGGCGGCAGCAGATAGAGAGGGAAAGAGAGGGGGGTTTCCAAGGGACTGTTGATGAGGTCCCACAGAAGGGCCAAGGTCTTCAAGCTCCTTTGAAGGTGACACTACAACCCTATGGCTGTTTTCTTAAAAAGTATTACAGATGTGATTTAACTATTCCTGAAAATACAGTGATTTAGAGGGCAGAACAAGGCTGGCCAGGTACAGAGATAGAAAAGATTGAAGGTTTGACAGAAAGATAGTGGCTTTAAAAGGTGGATCAATTATTCTACTAAAGGCCAATGATTACTTTCCTTTGAAAAATAATTATGAAAAAAATCAGGAGACAAAATACCCACAGAGAGAAATATATCAGAAGTAGAAGAAAGGAATGCAAATATAGTACTAGAGGAGAAGGGAAATAAAGTGGTTTTGGAGGGTTTTCCTTTTGGTTGGATTGTTATTACAGTGATATAATTATAATACCTTTCACAGTGCTTTTTAGGGATAGGAGAGCAAGGGAGGAGAAAACAAAATTAGGGTGACCCTGACTAAGGCTCTGTGAGCCATCCAAAGATTGTAAAATATTTTAAAAGGAAAGTAAAGAAAAGAAAAAATCGGAGCAGCGATCAAAGAGATGTCCTTCTCCCCAAAGACCTGTGTGCACCGGTACCGAGGGGCATCACCCAGCACAACCCACCCCCACCTGTTCAAAACTCCCAGTATCGTTAAATAAAAATTAAAATAATGAAATAAAAATAAAGAAATCAAAAAGATGCCAGCAGCCAAGCACAAGTAGCTGAGCTAAAGCAAAAATCAGTGTTTGGCTGGCAGCAAGGCAAGCAAGCACAGAAGCAAGCCCCAGCACCAACAGACGCACGCCATGCAATGAGTGCTTTGGGGGCAGTCGCCCCAATATCCCAAGCAATACCTGCCCATATCACTATATTCTTCTCCTCTGATTGTCCCAACTGGGCTCAGAGGTAAAACAACGTGGAAATACTCCCTGGGCTGCACTACGTGGCCCGAAAAGCAGGTGGCCACATGGTTACCGTTGCTACTGTCCTTTTTGTTTCACCATTATTTTTGTACTATGGGGGGGGGGGTTAAACTCTTTCATGCCATCCAAATGAAACAAACGGAACAAAACACGAAATAAACAGATGAAACTGTAACTGGGACCATGACTAATAATTACATGATGTTTAGAATTTTTATGCAATTCCCAAGTGTATATGCAATGTGATTGCCAGAAGTGTGAAGCATTTTCTGAAAACATTCAGTTGTCAGGTGGAGAGTGGCATCGTATTTCATCTTTTATTCTTCTAAGTCTTTTAAGAACTGCCTTTAGTGGTTGTATTTGTAATATTATTTATATTTCATTACTGATTTTATTCCAGTCTCACACATTTTGATGTCTTCATTCTTTGCTGTTAGTTTTATCTTGGCTGTGTGCTGTCTTCTTTTATTGCTTTATTTTTTCTGCTAATACGCCACCCAGAGAACACTAATTATTGAATATGGAATAAATTATTCTTATACAAAAAAATAAGCCCTGAGTAGAGGAAATATAATGTTCTTGTGGTTTCAATGATGATATTTATATTCTTTGCTATTGGTTTTGTTTGTATTATGTTCAGTTATTTGTTTATTGTTTGTATTTTATATATATTTTTATAATATTCTACCTTAGCCAAACAACTCTGCTTATTTGGCTTTTAAAAATTCAAGGAATATATCAAAATTTTGAGAGAGCAGAGGAACAACCACAGCTCAAATGTGCTTTGATGGGCAAGAAGATGTTAGAAAAAGAACTTCTGCAGGGAATGCGTGTGCCCTCTTTTCCTCTACCACACCTGAAAGTGTTGGATTGTTTGTTTGTCTGAAGCTAGTTGTACACGATAGTAAATGGGATGCTTGGGAAGAGGTTAAGCCAATGCTGTTCCCATTCATTTAGAGCAATTTATCTTCTTTACATTTCCTCTTGGGATTCAGGTTTGTTTGAAAGGAACAGGTTTCTGATATGGATTAAATGATACAGAAATTAGCTCACCCATATATTCTTTTGACTATAAGTTTTAGAAAAAAAAATAACTCAGTAATCACTCATTTCACCCATACTTTTTTCTTCTTCTGAGCTGTCTTTGCAGACAGGTTCTCACAAGTACTTTGCAGTGAAATAACCCCTTGGTTGTCACCTGCATGTCATCTTAACTTGGTGCTTTATGTGCTCTTTCTACCATCCCTGTAAAATACAGGCTGAAGGTTTAAAATGGCTGCTGGAGATTATGAATTTCTCTGAAGTCAGTATGGCTCGGATGTTTGTCAGTTATATTATGACAAGGCTTTTAGGAATGCAATACGTGACTGCGAGTTGCTGTGTGGCATTTCCAGTTGCTCCTGCCTCTAATAGTCTCTCCATCCATGTGTAACAGTTTTATCAAATCAAGAAGATTAATTATTGGCTTTCGGTTGAAAAAGACAGCCACCCAGTTGCCACCGTTTGCATAGCAGATTCCTTTCTCCCGTTCATTAAGCCTGCAGGAAATAAGTTTATTAACCAGACTTGTTTGATTTTAATGAATAGTCTTTAGATGGTTCCCTAGATGGCGGTGATTTGAAAAATGGAAAAAAAAAATACTTGGCTGAACTTTCATTCTTAACCTTTTCAAATAATTTGATCTGTTACCATGTTTTTATGGTGTCTTTCCTTCAAAGAGCTCAGGGTGGTGCACATGATGCATCTTTTTTTCACATGTCATTCTCATATTGGCAAGACATTTGTGTAACACAGTGGTTCCCAACCTTTTTTTTGACCACAGACCACTTAACCGGTAACCACTTTGACCAAGGATGACTTTGACCAGGGACAATTCTCCAAAAGTAGTACCAAAGGGGTTACAAATCAGTGTTTGGTCAACTTTAGATTCGATTTGGATATTTGTAGTGCTGATTCAGAAAACTGCACTGGATAGACCACATCAGCTCTAATTTCTGATGCCATCCAGTAGTCGCCATCTGCTTGCCAACAGAAAACCATATTTAATCAGCCTCGGCACTATAAGAGGGTTTTGTGTAGTAACAGTGAGGCCATGGACCATATTTTAGTTCTTGCAGACCACTGAAGATCCATGGACCTCAGGTTGGGAATCACTGGTGTAACAGCTATATAAGTGTGAATTAGTTCGTACAAACACTTTCTATCCATCTGCCCCTGGCCCAGCCCATTCTTGATATATTATATTATATATAATATGTAATATAGTATATAAAAAATTATTGGGTCTCCACGAGAAATTGTTGCTTCAAAAAGGGTACCGTGGCTGAAAAAGTTTAAGAACTCCTGCTCTATACCAATAAAGTGATGACCATAGTTTTGCTGTGTCATGTGAAAGTCATTTCTTAGGTGAATCTATCATGAAGTTTTCTTGACAGTCGTGATTTGCACTTGTCATCCTCTGAGATTGAGAGAGTGTGATGTGCTGAAGGTTACCCAGTGGATTTCCATGAATGAGCAGGAATTTGAACTCTAGTCCAATGCCAAAATCACTGCACCATGCTGGTGTCATAGCTTGCAAATAATTAATTAGCACTGATTATTTAATTGAGTGAAATACTGGTCCAGATCGTTGACTGCCAAGGAACTGGGCACTTCAATAGGATTCCAGTGGGAACCTAAGCCTCTTGAAACTAACAGAACATCTGAATCTGGCCATTGTTTGTCATAACTGTTAGTAATAGTGGGAGTAACAGCTTCTGGCTATTTGGAGTGGAGTTTCAGCTAAAATGAAAATAAAAGTCTTTTTATATCAATTGTTTCATAGTTTTGCACATTTTGTTCTTGTTTTCCAGCAGCAATTATGCAGTTTTGGTAAAAGTAGCAGCAGGCCTCTAAAGTTCACATTCACGAACTTTTGTTTCACTACTTGATTTTCCAAGTCTGTCAGTTTCCTTTAGCAACTGTAACTATGACAAACGTACTCATCTCATTTTGCTAAAAGATACAATGTCTGACATTCAGGCTTTATCACATTTTGTCCTGATTTTTGCCACATTTTACATTTGCAAATTGCCTACACACTGTAATTAGAGTTTGCAGCTGAAAACATAACCTTCACTTGAATTTGTTGTATAACCTTAATATGACTTTTACTGCTCTATAATTATCATTTGAAATTTCCACTTGATTGCATATTGGTAGAGGAAAGAAGTATTGTTTGTGCCCAGATAGATTACTTAACTACAGATCAACAAGAGTAGACTAAAATTTAAATTAATTCCTTCTATAATTATGTGCTTACTAAAAACATATACTGCCTCTTGAAGGCAGTTTACATCTGACTTCACAAATGCCCACTTGTTTACCAATCTCATTTCCATCTTTTTCTCCTCTCTTCAGAAATTGACATCGAACGTTGTGTCCGTGAATCAATCAATCTTTTCTGTTGGACCCCTAAAAGTGCTACTTACAGGCAGTTTGCACAGCATCCTAAGCAAACCAGTGAGGCAACCTGTACAAGAAGCTTAATGTCCTGTTTCTCATCGGACTATCAAGATGCACCAAGAAGTGACCTGGTGAGTGGTTTTAGGGGGAAAATTCAATCTTTTATTACGTAGTAACACCAAGCACCCTTTCACACCACAATAGGCCCATGTATTATGCAAGGAAACTGTTCCAGGACTGAATTGTGAGTTTTCCAGTCTATATGGCCATGTTCCAGAAGCATTCTCTTCTGACGTTTCTCCCACATCTATGCCAGGCATCATCAGAGGTTGTGAAGTCTGTTAGAAACTAGGCAAGTGAGGTTTATATATCTCTGGAATGTTGCTCATTATTTATTGTCCTGATTTTAGAGTTTTTAAATACTCGTAGCTAGATTTTGTTAATTTTCATGTTTTCCTCCTTTCTCTTGAAATTGACCGCATGCTTGTGGATTTCAATGGCTTCTGTGTAGTATGACATGGTGGTTGTGAGAGTGGTCCAGCATTTCTGTGTTCTCAAATAATATGCTGTGTCCAGGTTGAAAATGAATAAAATCTGACTACCAGTATTGAAAAAACTCTAAAATAAGGACTGTAAATAAAGAGCAACACTAAAAAGGAGAAATGTTGGACCACGCCTTGGGCCTCCAGCTAAAGCATATCACAGTGGACCTAGCAATGCCCATAGAAGTGTTTTCTCTTGGCCTCTGATACAATCCTATGTCAACATCTGGCAGAACTTCCAGTGGAGGATAACCATAAACTCAAACAGACGAGAGTTCTGTTTGAACTCTTATGACAAGCAGCAGTCAAATTGCTCACTGGAGTGGGGTTCAGGGAGGATACAACTCCCTGTTATGCCAGCTCCACTGGCTCCCAGTCTGCTACCGAGCACAATTCAAAGTGCTAGCTTTAGCCTAGAAACCCCTAAATGGTTCCGGCCCAGCTTACCTGTCCGAATGTATCTCCCTCTATGAGCCATCTCGGAGGTTAAGATCGTCCAGGGCGGTCCTGCTCTCGGTCCCACCTCCTTTGCAGGCACAAATGGTGGGGACGAGAGGCAGGGTCTTTTCAGTCGTGGCCCCTCATCTATGAAATTCCCTCCCCAATGAAATCAGATGAGCTCCTTCACTCCTGACCTTCAGGAAAAAACTTAAGACTTGACTCTTGGACCAAGCTTGGAGCAGTGCAATAAGTGATCAAGAATCAATGTATGTTTTGGATGGTGTGATTTTAATTGCTGTTTTAATAATTCATGTTTTAATTGTTGGTTTTAATTGTAATTGATTATTTGATATTTGTGTATGGCATCGAATTGTTGCTTCTTGAGTCCCCTCTGGAGTGAGAAAGGTGGGATACAAATAGGGTAAATAAATAAATAGATGTCGGACCATAGCAAGTTAGTTGGAAATTGTAGTTCAACAACATGGGGTCATCACAGTTTCCATCTCGTCTCCTGCAGAATGTGTATAAACAGATCTAAATTGTCGAGAGAACTTTTATTTAAGACGTGAATATTTGTTAGTGTTGCTATCTCTTAATGTTACTCTTAATATAGTGGTTTATACAGGTTGGTTACGTCTCACTTTTCTTGTCTACCTCTTTCAGGTATTAATTCTTTTGAGCTTGAACTGTTTCTTTGTCCTGAATGAACAGCCTATTTTCATAAGCTAGCTGCTCTAGGAAATAATACCTTTTTTCTATCTTCACTGACTCCTCAATTATTTTGAACATTGAGCTCTTCTGTGGTTTGATAGCCACGTGACCTTTATTTATGTTCCAATACTATTTTGATCCTAAAATTGCTCTGAAGAATGTGCCAATGGAAGTATTTCATCTTGTGCCAGGGCTTCTCCCCACTTCTATTCTCCAACTGTTTCTGTTGAGCATGGCCTTTTATTTCTGTAACTGAGATTAGTAAAGACTAGTCACAGAGCTGCTTGGTAAACCTTCTATCCACTGAGAAATAATAATGGGAAAGAATTCATTTTCCCTTCCCATGAAATTTGTGAAATGTACTATGAAGGAAGGCTTATCACATACCTAGAAAAAAATAGTTGCTAGTCCTTTAAGCACACTGTCTCTATGTTCTGTATCTACTTATAGAAACATTTTGGAGAAAGCTGGTATATGTGTAAAAATGTCTTCCTCTAGATGATGGTCAAGGAAATGAGATAAACCAGATAATATTTTGGAGCTTTATCAACATTACCCTGGGAATATATTAACTTTGAAAACTACTTTAAATATTTTGACAAGAAGGTTAAAAGTACTTTCTGACTGTCATCTTTGGAATTGGTTTTGCTTGATCTTTTAACAGTAGCATGGAAGACATACTGAAATCATAATTACTTTGTCTTTATTGTCTATGTTGTTTTCTTATCTTCTGTAGTTGTTTGACACTGACAGAGGTGAACATTAAGATATAATTTATATTTAATGTCACAAAAGAAAACCCCAACTTCAGCTCTCCCTGAGGAACCTACAATAAAATATTAGTGAAGGATATATAGCTAACACTACAAAAATTGAGAACCTGTTCCTTTAACACAGTGGTTCTCAACCTTCCTAATGCCGTGACCCCTTAATACAGTTCCTCATGTTGTGGTGACCCCCAACCACAAAATTATTTTCATTGCCACTTCATAACTGTAATTTTGCTACTGTTATGAATCATAATGTAAATATCTAATATGCAGGATGTATTTTCATTCACTGGACCAAATTTGAAAAAATACCGATACTCCCAAATTTGAATACTGGTGGGGTTGAGGGTGGATTAATTTTGTCATCTGGGAGTTGTAGTTGCTGGGATTTATTGTTAACATACAATCAAAGAGCATTCTGAACTCCACCAAGTATGGAATTGACCCAAACTCGGCACACAGAACCAACATGACCAACAGAAAATATTGGAAGGGTTTGGTGGGCATTGACCTTGAGTTTTGGAGTTGAAGTTCACCTGCATCCAGAGAGCACTGTGGACTCAAACATTGATGGATCTGGACCAAAGTTGGCATGAATACTCAATATGCCCAAATGTGAGCATTGGTGGAGTTTGGGGAAAATAGACCTTGACAATAGTTGCTGGGACCTATATTTACCTTCAGTCAAAGAGCATTCTGAACCCCACCAGCGGTAGAATTGGGCCAAACTTCCCACACAGAACCCCCATGACCAACAGAAATACTATGTTTTCTGATGGTCTTTGACAGCCCCTCTGACACCCTTCTCGCAATCCCCCCCCCCCCAGGTTGAGAAACACTGCTTTAATAGATTTATTTTCTTGTGTGAGTTTCAATTCCGTGGAATTTTATGGCTCCCCTTGAAATTTATTTGATTTTTTATTGTCATGTTCCCTGCCTTGTGTTTTTTTCATAAAAATCTTCAAAATGCAATATTTTCATATTTTTTTTGTAAAAGAAAGATATACATATATTTTTTACCAGAAAAAGAAGTGGATAAGAAAGACATTCTTCTTGTGAGCAATTACTGCTGTCCTTTTGAGGAGTTGCAGTATCAGTAGAAATGTGTGGAATTAGTAAACAAGAGTCTGCAAATATTGCAGAGATGAAAAGTTTGTGCTTTCTGAGCCAAATAGCCGCCTTATCAGCAGAACTCCTTTGGTATTCCATGGTTCCCTTCACACCCCAACAGACTTTGAATTTGACCAACTTGACATCAGATGTCTTATTTATACGAGATTGTAATTCTTTTCATGCCATGAGCAGCATTTCCCCTCTGTGTGCTGGTCATTTCCTAAAGTAAACTCCTGAAGCCCATTATCACAGTGCAAAGCAAATGTCAGTGGTATGTTATACAAAACAAACACACTTTCAGCAGTGGGACTCTGTTTCTGTTTTGCTTTATTGAGTGTGTGTTTTTTTCATCCTAGCACATGCCGTACCTTGAAAAGTGTGCTTGAAGTGGCTTCATTTCTTTTCAAGAGGGAAATAACTGAGGCTTATGGGGCCCCACTGTAAGTTATCCGTTTACAGTGGCAAAACATACATGTAGGGAAGAATAAACAGACTTACTGTTGTTCTTAAACTGTGGGCTTCTAAGTTATTTACATAACTATTTCTCCCCAATGCCAAAAAAAGCCCTGTTCAAAATTTTGATTTGTGTTCCTTTGGTATTCTTATGCAGCCATAGCTCTCCTTTGACTATTTTGTCCATTGGACACAATCCCGACAGAGTCTTATTTCCCATCCTTTTTGATACTATTTATACATGTATTATTCTGAATTGCAACAATTTTCAAGAATCTTCAAGGAACTGATGTTCAATTTTTTTATAAATTAGATGCATCATAAATTGAATATTGGACCTTCAATATGCCAAGTGTGTGTTTTGCCTCTTACAATTATAGTCCTTTTTTAAAAAAACAACAATCTCTATCAATTTTTAAAAAAACACATAAATTAACATCAGATGATCTGTGACAAGGTCCCTCCAAAGAGAGACATGTGATAGTACTTCATATTGAATTTTGCCCCTTTGTAGTTCGGTCTGTCATTACTTCCCGGAATTAACGTGGAATCTGGGATGTAAAGCTTTTCAGGTTTACTGCTTCCATATAAAATGAATGAGTACCATATTGAATTAACGTTATTGCTATACTTCTTTTCATTTCTTAAAAGTGCACATGAACCTTTTATCAAGATTTATAAAGTGATAAGCAAACTAACAATATGGTACTACGGGTATGACCTTTGGATTACTGTAACACACGCTACATGAGCTGCTTTTGCAGAAACTCATCCAAAAAGATTCAACCAGGTTGTTATTTTGGGCTAGTTGTAAAAAATAGACAGTTCCCTCATTGCAACTGCTGTAATAACTTCCAGTCCATTTCCAGAAACAGCTCAAAGTGCTGGTTATGACCTATAAAACCTCAGATCCAGATTGGCTGAAGTACCATATTCTCTTTGATGACTCTGCCTTTATTTTGGGATTTTCTTAAAGAAGTTTTCTCTCAATCCCAAGAAGACATCTGGTGGGAACATGGGAGAGGGCTTTTTCAATAATTGCTCCCAAGCTCTGGAACCCGCTTCCTAGAGATGCTAGATTGGAACACTCCTTGCTACCATATTTCAGGAAGCAGATGAAGATTTTTATATAAATCAGCACACCTTTCAGTACTACTTGACTAGAGGTAATGAGTCTTGCATAGTGTGTTGACTAGAGGTAAGGAGTCTTGCATAGTGTGTTGGCTTTTCTTTTTGCTTTTTTAGAAGATTCCAGTTTTTTTGATAGTATTGTAGATCAGCCAGAGGCTGATGGTTTAACCAATTATTTAGAGAGGTTTATGGGCTTTCCTGGGGCACAAAGTGAAGGGCCCTCAAGTCTTGGAAATTCAGGTCTGGGAAATGATGTTTCTTACTGTGAGAAAACTGGTTTGGAAAGTGCAGGGCTTCATGGCCAGTCCGAGGAGTCAGAATTACCAACAGTAGATAAGGAATCAGGTGAAGAGCTGAGTGATAAGGAGGGTTCCCAGGAGAAACTACCTGTAGCTACAGAGATCAACAAAAGTCTTCATTTACAAATCTCAGAGCGGAAAATAGATTACGCCGGTCTGAGAGATTACATGGGAAAGTTGGGGAGAAAATTCACGGGAGACGTTATGCTTTCATGGAGATCTATTAAGCAACAAATTATTTACCTTAAGGACAGTTCAGAGTGAGAAGCTAAGCCTGAGTTCTCTGGTTCTTGGTTCAAGTCAAGCCTTGGTTTTTGGATTTTAATCCTGGAAGTTTCTCTATGTTCCGGTTCATGTTCAAGTTTTTAGTAGTTATACCTTCTTGCTTGTGGACTTATGCTGTACCTGTGTTTTCTATCTATTCCTGGACTTTGTCACCTCTGGAACTTTCTGAGACATTTGGATAATTGTTTGGTTATCACCTGTTGCTAAACCTTTTTTGTTTATATATCTTCCTTTCTGATTCCTTCTTTTTATATGCTTTTTATTTGTTTTACAACAAACTGTTTGCTTATATTCCTGGACTTTTGTGTGGTGGGGTGGTCATAGCTGTTTCCATGCCTGGAGTGCAACAGATAATTTAATTATATTTTAACTTTTTAAGTGAGGCCTTACACAGGTTTTCAGCATCCACGTGTAAGCTATCTCAAATGATTTAGTCTGTTGAAATAGAAGCTAGAAGGATATTGCACCTATGCTTAGCATTCACCTTTCATTTTAAGAGTAATAATAATTCATATATAGCAGTTAATATATGACTGGAATGTGAGCACCATACATCGGGAAAATGAAGATTGCCATTCTTTGAAGGAGGCACACAACAGTAACCATGTGCTGATAGCACAAGGAAAAGGGGGTGGTGTGAGAAACCCCATTAATGGACAAGGGGAAGTTCTCATTTCCTCAACAAGAAATCTGGACCCACCTGCAGGTTGGCACTCACAGTTTGAAAATATAGTGGATGAAATATGGAGCAGAAGACTTAAGCTTGCCTCCCTAAAATAACTATCTGATGCAATTGACAAGATGACAACACTAATTTGGTGCTTTAGTATGGTTGTCTCTGCCACAGTCTGGGATTCAGCAAAACCGAGTTGGGGATTCAGATATGGCAAATAGCTTGAATCCTGTATCCAGCATCAGTCATCTAAGGAGCTGACTTTACCCAATTGTAGGGAGAATATACTCTGTGTTGTTGAAATGGCCCAAATCATCTAGTTCTGTGCTTTTTCTTTCAGAGACAAGGCAAAGTAGAAGATATACCTGGTAGTCTCACTTTCTCTTTAAACATTTGAGTGGTTTCAGGTGAAAAATGTGGCTAGCAGAAACAGATCTTTTGGCAGCAGGTTATATGTAGTGCAGGAAGCTATATATAGTGCTGTTTCAGAAGTGGTACTGTTTTATGTCATGCTTCACTAAAAAAGCTATATATTTTACCACCAAGAAAGTATACTTCATCTTTAAGAGAGTAAAAATGGCCTTAGAGTGAGTCTTAAATTTCATATCTAGAATAGGAATAATCCTCAAGGGTTGTCTATTGGGTAGATATATTAGATGCTGTCAGCAATACTGAACAAGTAAAGCTCTGTAGTGGTTATGCTCTGACTTCCCTTATTTCCTTGTGTGATAATTGTTCATTTTTCCCAATGGAAGTAATACGTATCAAACTGAGGAGTCTAGCCACTGGTATAAACTGGGCTAGACTTACGAAGGTATTTGTTTTGTTCTAATCCCCTTGTTGCCACATTTCCCTTTCCACTTTTTCTTTATTGGCCTGTTTTGGATGTGTGTGAATAACAGCAGTTGAACCACTAAGTTTTGCAATTGAAGTTTTATTTCGTACAGTGGTGAGACAACGTAGCAAAATGGCACTACCTAAAAGACTACTTCACCTTGTGCGACTGTGGAGCAGAACAAATTCTGTTATCTGTATGCTTGTCCACAGTGTCCTGCCTCATGTACAGGGGAATTGTTTAAAGCTACAGACAATGCAATCGCTGTTTCCCGTTTTTGTCAAAAAATATTTAGTTGCTTGTGCTCTTTCTATTTTTATCAGTTTTATACTTATTTATGCAATGCTTTTGATATAAAAAAGCGACAAAAAGTGGCTAACCTGTAGTAACTGAGGATTTGCAATATGCCCACCCATGTGTATGGAGGTTTAGAGTTTCCTACTTCTGTTTGTAGTCATATAAAGTTACTTTCACTTTAGATCTGTAATCTTGTTTCACATACAAGATATAGCTTTTTCTGTCACAAAACTTCTTGGGCTAAAGAGAGCAGTGATTTTTCACAGTCCTGGATCTCAGAACTAACAAACTACAATCATCATGATGGACTGTATGAGTGTGTAGAGAATGGAAAATAGGAAGCTTTTGGGGATTGGGAGATTTCAGCAAGATGGATCCTGGAGGTTACAGGACAGTTTCCTCCACATATGCCCAAATGTTTTGTTTTTAAAATTGTCCCATCGCACCCCAGAAGTTTTGTGAGCCATACACATCTCCTGTACAAATAATGGTATGTGCACAATATTAACTTTATGGGATTTAAAGTATTTGTGTGTACACTATGTTGATTCCGCAGTTACAAGTTTAATCATATGCATATTTCTGATTTCAGGCTTAGTCACTAATAGTGACTCTATGTGCTGCTCAGAATGGAAACACATTTTGCTCCAAGAATGTCTACTTGTGTCATACTTTTAATATAATAATAATTAAAAAAAACTTTATTTATACCTCGCCACCATCTCCCCAAGGGACTTGGAGCAGCTTACCTGAGGCCAAGCCCAACAACACATCAAAAACAACAAGCAATAATAAAAACAACAAGCAATAAACAAAAATAAACAATACAGTTAATATAACTCACAGATAGACTTTTGCTTTCTTTCCTTGGGAAATATAGAGCCTAGTCATGATCCTGTCTGTTTGTTGACTACTTAGGTTTCACATTCAATCCTGAGTTCAGTTTATTTGTCAAGCTAAAGGGCTATGGGACCTGGAAGCCAAAAAGACATGAGGTTTTGGTAAAGCTACTATAGAAGTCATGGTTTAGCTGTCATAATTTGAATAAGCAATTAAAGAGCATATTTCTGCTTACACATCAACATATATGACCTGCTTTGAAATATAAATTGGGCAAGGCAATATCAAATATTGTATGCATTCATCTATACACATACTTGATCTGTAATTATGCAGAATTTTGATTGTGAATATAAAAAAGAATGGGGTTTATTTAGGAAAGAATGTTTTGTTAATATATTTCAACATCTTAATATTCATTGCAAGGAACAGTGGCAGATAAGTCAACTTGATCGTTGTTCAAGAAAATCTTTTTTCTCTCTTTCTATTTAAAAGTCTAGGGATTCCATCAAGCTGAATGACCTGAAGTCAGAAGTGTCACCAAGGATCTCAGCTGAAGATTTGATTGACCTATGTGACCTGTCAGGACCCAGCCACTTCAAGACCCCAACTAAGAAAACAAAATCCAGCAAGCCAAAGTTGCTTATTGTTGACATCCGTAACAGTGAGGAGTATCCTTCCAAAGGGGGGGGGGGGTTACTGGACAAGCCTTTTAGCCTCTATGATTTTCCGATTCTGTGAAATTGAAGAAGCCTTGGCTTACTTATTTTTCTGCCATTTTCTCTTTTAGATTCAAATACTAAAGAGATAGAAAGAAATGTAAATGGAGTTGATGTGTACAACTTCAGATGGGGACACATGACTACTTGCACATCTGGATGATGGAAATAGTTAAAATGATAACACAACAATGCAAGGATACTCCTATTTAGAGAAGTGGTAACAAACAAATTTAGACAAGGAATTTGCAAGATCAGGCATAAGCAGAAAATACAGAAATGTCTCTAGTAGCAAAAGATGAAAGAAGATAGTTTTGGCAATAGCTGAATTCTCCTAAGGAAGAGAATGCACCCAGGACCTCTTTTTTATTTAATAGGATTAAGTCACATGAGAGTTTATATGACATTCGAGTGAATGGGTTTTTCTAGATTTTGAAATATAAATAAATATAAATATAAATAAATTTGTTATTATATGTGTATATGTTTTTAAATTGTAGATTGTTTTAACTGCTGTAAACCGCAATGAGTCGCCGTTCTAGGCTGAGATATTAGCGGTATACAAGTGTATCAAATAAATAAATAAATAATAAATAGATTAAGTTTTAGCCCTTGGCTATCATCTCTAAATATTGGCTCAGGACTCATTAGAAATATATAGACTTGACTGACATTGGTCTCCAAAACTACATGTGATCTATGTCATTATTTTCTTATCATTGAAAACATTGGATATTATTTTTAAATGTTTAGGAACCCTCAAAATTGATAACTATCTGAATCCAATATTTGAGGATATCTCTAATGAGTTGCTGTGAGTTTTCTGGGCTATATGGCCATGTTCCAGAAGCATTCTCTTCTGATGTTTCACCCACATCTATGGTAGGCATCCTCAGAGGTTGAAGGGTCTTTTCAAAACTAGGCAAGTGAGGTTTATATATCTGTGGAATGTCTAGGGTGGGATTTATATATTATACGGATATCTAAACCTCACTTGCCTTGTTTCCAACAGACCCCTCAACCTCTGAGGATGCCTGCCATAGATGTGGGCGAAACATCAGAAGAGAATCTTCTGGAACATGGCCATACAGCCTGGAAAACTCACAGCAACCCAGTGATTCCAGCCATGGAAGCCTTTGATACACCTAATATTATGCTAAAGATGATTTAGCCAAAAATCAGTCTTGTTCTCATTTTTTATCTCTTTCCCTCCCTTCCTTTGGCCCCATTTATTAAAAAAGGATTTTTTTAGATAGAGTTTTATTTATATATAAAGTCACATCTATAAAACAGACCTGTCAGAGCTTGAAAAATGCCAAAATCCCGACATGCTATGCTGTCTAAAACAAAAATGATTAAAGAAACAAGTATAATTATTTCTTCTGTATGTTTATTAATTTCATGCACCAGTGGAGGCTTCCAGTCAATCAGAGGCTTCATTGTCTAAAGCATTTGCCTCATCACTATTGAGTCATTTGAGGCTTTTTGCCTTGGAATACATTAATATTTTAAAGATTGATTGATTCATCTTTTACTTTCATTTTTCATGGCGGTTTCCATGTAAAACCATTTACAAGCTAAGGAGGTACTGATGTATAGACTGGTGTCACACTAAAGCGTAAGGTCTCTTGACTTGTCTTTCTCTAAGATGAGTCGCCCTAGGGCTGAGAGCGGCGGTCAATAAATGCACCAAATAAATAAATAAATAAATTTTCTAAGGAAAACCTTCAGGTAAAAAGAAAATGTTTTCTAGCCCCTGCTTAGAAGAGAAAATAACATATTGGGGTGCTTTTGTTTGCAATTAGAGAGTAACTAGGAAATATGTGGATTGGGCAGTGTTTGGTTAATTTAATGAAAACCTTAGCAAACCTCTCTGTCATCCTTTAAGACCTTTAATGAATGTCTAGTTCTTATAATCATATCAGCAATAAGATGGTTAAGATGGCCATTTAATATTAGAAAGCCTACAAAATATTATTTAAATGTTCATAGTTACAACTAAGGCAGCTCATTTCATTAAAATACATTTATTTCTTTTTATAAAGGTTACGTCATTCATGCAGAGCTCTTTTTTACAGTTACTCTGCCATACTGTAATACTTATAATTAAGTCATCATAAGAGTTATTGATCTGTATGTTTTACAGCCCAAGAAAGTGTTCTTTCATATTAGAAGACATTAGTGAACAGTGTTTAACTACAGGGGGAATTCAGCTTCTGTTGGTGGTTGTGTGTGTAAAAGATCGTGAATGTGCACAAACATGTGTGCGCACAACATAGATGCATAAGCCCTTATATTTCCCACGGTGCACTATTGACTGTCATCCAAATGGAATTGTTCACAGGAGTTATTTCAAAAGAAATAATTGGTAGCATTACTTTTAGATTAGCTGTAAGCCTTTCAGAGGTGATTCATACAAGATCCTAAAATCTCTCTTAGCTTCATAGCAACTTCAGCGAAATGTAAGAACTTGATTCTGGGCAAGACATTTCTTGAAGTTCCATTTATGTGCACCAGACGAGACATCCCAATTTCATATAAAAGCTATTTGACATTGGAATACACTTCCCACAAAGTGTGGTGGAGTTTCCTTCTCAGGAGCTTTGTAAATAGAGGTTGAACAGCCATCTGTCAGGAGTGATCTGAGAGTGTATTCCTACATTGCAGAATAAGGTTGGACTAGGTCTTCTAACTCTATTATTCTATGCGCTCTATCCTTCAGAACCTTGTTTAACTGGATATGGTGGACTGATGTACCTAAAAAATTGACATTATTTATTTATTTATTTATTTATTTATTTATTTATTTATTTACAGTGTTTATATGCCGCTTCTCTCATCCCTAGGGGGGCTCAAAGCGGTTAATGTCTTGAATTTAATGTCTGCGACTAGTCAGAACCAATATGGTCTTTTCAATATGACATACATTTATTGTATTTACCTGCTGTGGTGCTCACAGCAAAACCAACTGAAGTTTTGTAAAAGCCCATTTTAATAGACATATAGTTATTGACAATACAATCATAGATCAACAAACAAAGCCTCTGAGAACGAAGTTCTTTTTACAAAGCCTTTATATGCCTACCCATCGCATCCCATCCTTCCTCCTCATCTAGCTGAATGGTTTTCTGGCAGCATCAGCACAAGGAAGATAGTAAATAGGGCTGAAGAAATACAGACTTTCGGCAGCAAGGTGATATAAAAGGAAGGGGGATTTTATATGGTGGCTGATCAGAATGTGGGAGGGAGATATCTTCGATGTTTCCTATTGTGCAAGAAACCTACCATGCATCACACTATGATGGTGCAAAATGTGCCCTTTTCTCCCTTCCAATTACTTTCCTTAACAGGTCCTCTTCTTGCCCAGTTTTAATCGAGGGCATATATCAGGCAGCATCAATATCCCATTTGGATCAGCATTCGCTGCTGAAGGAGAGCTCATCCAATGTCCAGCTACTTCCATGCTTCAGAGTTTTAAAGGGAGAGTAGTGGTGATTGTTGGACACGTAGCAAAAAATGCCGCATCGGTAAGTGCATGTGGTGTCATACATCTTGTTCAGGACAGTAACAATCAGGAAGTAACAGTGATGGTGTCAGTCTAACTTTTTTAGGAAATGAGTTCCAGAGCCTATAGCAGCCAACAAGAAGTCCATCCTGTGTTCCAGCCAGGTATATATCTGATGTTGGAGGGACAGAGAGAAATATCTCCCCATAACATCTCAAGACATGTGCAGAGTATAATTCTACAGATAATACATAAATGAGATCTGGTAGAATATTTTCTGCTGTTGAAATATTTGTACAAAATACATTTTTATATTTGCCATACTTGTTTCCCACCCTTCTCAACCGCAAAGGGAACTCAGGGCGGCCTTACAAAGGCAACAATTTGATGCTGCAGGTACACATACATGGATGAATAAACAAAAACATTAAAAACCAACCAATTAAAACATAACATTAAAATAACAATGAAAATCACATAATCCAGGTCATATTCCAAGTCGTCATTATGTTAATCTAAAGTCTCCTATTGCACTGCTTCCATTATTGACCAAAAGCCTGATCCCAGAGCCATATTTTAGGGTTTTTTTCCTGAAGGCCAGGAGGGATGGGGCCAATCTAATTTCACTGGGGAGGGAGTTCCATAGACAAGGGGCCACCACTGAGAAATCCCTGTCTCTTGTCCCCACCAATTGTGCTTGCGAGGGGGGTGGGACTGAGAGCAGGGCCTCCCCTGATAATCTTAGCCTCCGAGGTTATAGATGCGTGCACATCCGTAACAGATCCACTGCACACAGAGCTGCAGCCCTGGAAAGCTGTTGAAATACTGATTTATATAAACCAGTTCCATTATGGACACTGAAGACTATACTAAAGTTGGTGTTCGTATTAATAAGTTGGAGAGCTTGATTGCTGTTTTTGAAGCACACAGAACAGAATAATCAACTGGCATCATTTTTAATGTTTTCTTGTGGTTATTAGTGCATTCTTGTTAACCATTTTATTGATTACTCCTTTTTTTAATCGTTTAACAATTGTGTTTTATGAGATATTGTCAGCTGCCCTGGAAATATTTAATTAAAGGTTAGCATAATGTTTTAAGTAAGCATGTCTTAAACAGATCACTAGCAATAACACTCAGCAATATGAGAAGGACTAACTTGTTTCAGTGTTCGTGAAGGTTTTATAGATTTCCCAACACTGGCATTCAAATATTATCTTACTCAATTTGTATTTAGGTACCTACTTAAAACTACAGCATGTATAGACTTATTTTGCAATTCTCTGAAAGCACGTGGTTTTGTATAGCTATCAAACAGCCAGTTTATGATGGTGAGCAGTGTCTCCAATCTCTATTTTCCTTCATGTATGCACTCTAGTTAGGACACTGTATTTACTGGGACAATGGAATTGGATTTGTTCCATAATGATAAAAGCAGTCCAGAATGGTCTGATGTGTGAGTATGGACTGTTATCAAGAGAAAGCCTTTAGAAGTAGTTAAACGACTTTCATAATGTTGAAAACACAAGGAAAGCTCTTCTTCTGAGACTGCAGAAACTGATATGGTAGATAGCCAACTTCAGAGAAGTGGCTATACTACTGACTTTAGCAGTTATAAGACTTCAACAATCTATGTGTAAATGAACTCATTATAACTCATCATTGATTTGGCTGACTAGGGCTAACAGGTTACAGGTGTCTCAGACCTGAAATGCATGTTCAGTTAATTGTATTTACAAAGCGGGGATCTTCTGAAAACTTGTCACCTTCTAATAATAAGTGTAGTGCACTTGAGGAAACAATGTAATCTAAAATAAATGACAACTGACTTGAAAACAGTACATATGAAAGGGATCCTGCAGTCTTTGTAGAACACAAGCTGAACATGAAACAACAGTGGGGTGCAGCAGTTTCTAAACCAGTTATTCTCAACCCTTCCCAATGCCGTGACCCCTTAATACAGTTCCTCATGTTGTGGTGATCCCCAACCATAACATTTTTGTTGCTGCTTCATAACTATAATTTTGCTACTGTTATGAATCGTAATGTAAATATCTGTTATGCAGGATGTATTTCCATTCACTGGACCACATTTGCACAAATACCCAATAGGCTCAAATTTGAATACTGGTGGGGTTAGAGGGGATTGATTTTGTAATTTGGGAGTTTTGGTTTCTGGAATTTATAGTTGACCTACAATCAAAGCACATTCTGAAGTCCACTAATGATAGAATTGAACCAAACTTGGCACACAGAACTCCCATGGCCAACAGAAAATACTGTAAGGGTTTGTTGGGCATTGACCTTGAGTTTTAGAGTTGTAGTTCACCTACATCCAGAGAGCACTGGGGACTCAAACAATCATGGATCTGGACCAAACTTGGCACAAATACTCAATATGACCAAATGTGAACACTAGTGGAGTTTGGGGGAAATAGACCTTCAGATTTGGGAGTTGTAATTGCTGGGATGTATAGAATTGGGCCAAACTTCCCACACAGAACCCCCATGACCCCTCCCAGGGGTCCCATCTCTCAGGTTGAGAAATTCTGTTCTAGGCTGCATCAATAGGAGTATAGTGTCAAAATCGAGCTAAGTAATAGTCCATCTCTATTCTGCTTTGGTCATATCTCACCTAGAATACCAAGTCCCATTCTGGGTAGCACAATTCAAGAAGCATATTGACAAGCTGGAGCATGTCCAAAGGAGGGTGACCAAAGTGGTCAAATAACTGGAAATCAAGCCATATAAGAGGGTGTTAGAGAACCGGGTATGTTCAGCTTGGAGAAAAGAAGGATGAGAGGAGACATGTTTAAATTTTTGAAATGATATCACATTGAGGAGAGGGCAAGATTGTTTTCAGCTGCTCTGGACACAGAGCAATGGATCCAAAGTGCAGGAGAAAATCCACCTAAACATTAGGAAGAACTTCATAACAGTGAAAGCTCCAAGTGTGGTAGAATCTCTATCCCTGGAGATGTTTAAGCAGAAGCTGGATGGCCATCTTCAGGTGCTTTGGATGTGTGTTCCTGAATGGCAAGAGGTTGAACTGGATGACCCATGTAGTGTCTTCAAACTCCATGATTCTATGAAAATGATAGAATTGGCTTTCTGTGAAGCAGAAGCAATCCTCTTAATGTGAAAGAAAAAGATCTATCACAACTTTTATTAACTTTATTAACCTGTTGACAGCAAAAACTAGCCATTCCTTTCTCAGTTACTCAGGGGGAAAACATTTTCTTGGTCATAACTTTGGAAACTTGGGCCAGAAAGGGTGATTATGAAGCTAAATGAACTTTTTACCCTATTGTGTTTTTATTGCTGTCCATGGTTATGGGCGAGTGAACTCTGGATCATCACACCAATTTATTTTGACTTGTAAAAGTCACGGAAATGTTACTCTCTCATTGTCTGAAAGATATTCAAAATATTCCATGCGTGCAATTGTACCATAATGGTGCAATACATAATGGACAATGCAAAATATAGCTAGAGGAAGAACAGCCATCTCCAAACAAAAAGTCAGTTCATGATTTTGCATGAGATTTCATTGGCTTTTTGCAAAGCAGTAAGCACAGTGACACATTCTTGGCCTAAGAAAGTGTCTCTTCCCCTTAGGAAACTGACATGTTTCCAAATGTTCATGGTGACCCTTCCATGTGGGAACTGTTCCTTTGGCTGACAGCGAAAGAAAATACCTTAGTTCACAGCACCAGGAAACTAGTATTGGAGCACATTTTCAACGCAGTCACTTGAATTACTGATTACTGTTTTCCTGTCGTAGTCCCTGTGAATCGCACATATGATATCTCTCTGCGCTTGCGCAATAGCTTTCGGAACCTTCTAGAAAGAAGAAAAAACACTTGACTCCTAGCTGGCCCCAKCCACCTCGCCCCGAGTATAAGTAGCCCGTGGGAGGGGCCAGCCGTCAGTTCTCTTTTCCGCGCTCCACGGATAGCTTGGGAACCCTTGCTTTTTTCTCCAACGTTCCTTATCGACTCCTATCGGACTGCTTTATTCCTAACGGACCTGGCCTGGCTTGCTTGACGGAGATATTGGTTGACGATTTGGACTGGTTATTTTCCCTGCSGGCTATTGACTCYGACTGCCTGACCATTCTGACCTCTCCAACCCTCGATCCGGCCCGTTATTCGACGCTTCGCCATGTCCACTACCTCCTTTAAGAGGTGCTCCAACCCCTCCTGCCCTAATACCTTTCCGGACACGGATGGCCATTCCCTCTGTCTGGCCTGRTTGGGCGAGGGTCACCTTGCACAAWCTTGTGRGGTTTGCCTGGCTTTCACCGCCCAAACGAGGAAGAATAGAGAGGTCCGGCTCAAGGCSGCCTTGTATGAAAAAGCCCTTCTCCCTCAGTCTCCCTCTGGGCAGGCTGGGCCTTCTTCTGGCCCCAACTTACCTTTTTCGCTGCGTGACGATCCTAATCAGGCTAATCTGGAAATCACACTCTGTGATACAGGCAACTTTCTCAACAGGAATGTTAACCCCAGAAAACTGAGATTGGAAAGAGATGAATGCCAGACCCCAAAGACAGCTTAACTCTGTCCCATGGGGCCATCGTTTTCTGCTCCAAAAGTTTTCCAAAACTGTTCTTTGTCTCTGAAATGAAGACGAGGGTGGTATTTTATTACCATCCTGTGCCTTGCCACAGGTGCTTTTCATTTTAAAATGCCAATCAAATGTTTGTCCTACCATGCTTCTACCATTTAGTGGCAAGTGACCATATTCTGGCAAAATTTAGTCCCCTTACGCCTCTAAAACAAACAGAAATATTGAAAGAGAAACACCCATAAATTATTCCATTTTCAACAAGCTTTGGGGCTTTATTGTCAGATTCCTTTTACACATTTGCAATTGGATGTCTTTCATTTAGAAATGATATGACATTTTTGTCATGTTTTGATGTACATTGAACGTAGATATCATTGTTTGTGCCAGGTGATAAAAAGGAAGCAGCTTCTCTCTGTCTCTCGCTCTGTCTCTCTCCCTCTCCCTCTGTCTCTC